AGATCCAGCTATACCACTCCTGGGCATATATCTGAAAAATTCTCAACCATACAACAAAGGCATTTGCTCAACTATGTCTTTACTTTCTGTGAGGTCATCTATTTCCCACAAGTTCAATGGCACTATAATTCAGTTGTATAGGACTGCACATCTTAAATATCTATTTTGGCTTTTCAAATAAACTTTATTCAGGCTTTTGTGACATATATAATGCAGTATTTTTCCAGTTTGAACACTTACTAAATGTCTCATAATGTACATAAAAGTGGCTTATGGGATGTTTTATTCCTTCAGTCTTTATTGCTGTGTATCTGTTTCATTTCCATATCAAAACTATTAAACTACTCAATAATTCTTATGCCAACACAGATATTTTTAAAAGAATAATATTCTGTCAATTTTGAAACTGTTTTGTTACAGTATTAAAAGATAAAATGTGCCCACAATTGCATAGATTTATTCTAATGATCCTTTTTCCCATGACAAGTAACTTTTTAAAAAATTAAATTATACATATATATTTATGTATTAAAATTTATTTACTTTGTGCCCTTGCTGCAGTGCCTCCCTTGTCTTCTCCTATTCCCGCCCACCCTCCCTTACCCCTTTCCCTAACCCTGATAGGGGAGGACTCCTCCATTTCTAACTGACCTTAGCTTATCAGGTCTCATCAAGGGTGGCTGCATTCATCTTCCTCTGTGGCCTGACAAGGCTGCACCCCCCAGGGGAAGGTGATAAAGAGTCGGTCACTAAGTTTATGTCAGAGACAGCCACTGTATCCCTTACATGGGGAACCCACTTGGAAACGGAGCAGCCTATGGTCTTCCTTTGAGCAGGCAATCAAGGTCCTCCCCATGTATGGTCCTTGGTTGGAGTACTAGTCTCTGCAGGGCCTCCTGGGCCCAGAATTTTTGTCTCTGTTGTTCTCCTTGTGACAATCATGAAATTTGCAGGCAAATAGTGGGAACTAGAAAAGATCATCCTAGTGAGGTAACCCAGAAGCAGAAAGACACATATGGTATATACTCACTTATAAGTGGATATTAGTACTAAAATCGATAGTCCTAAAGGAGCTAAACAACAAGACCCTAGGGAAGATGCTTAATCCTCATTCAGAAGGGCAAACAGGATAGACCTCAGAAGTAAGAGAAGACAGGGAACAGGACAGGAGTCTTCCACAGAGGACCTCTGAAAGACTCTAACCATCAGGGTATTGAAGGAGATACTGAGACTCATAGCCAAACTTTGGGCAGAGTGCCAGAAACCTTATGGAAGAAGGGAGAGATAGAAAGACCTTGGGGGGACAAGAACTCAACAAGTAACTTTTTATTATTTTTAATATTTGATAGATCCCGTTTCTTGCCCTATTTCATTATTTTCTTTCTTATTTTTCACTTTAAGGATATTGAGCATGACTTCGTCTTATTTCATGTTATAAGAACAAATAATGAGTGGATTTATCTATTGATTTTAAAAAGTTTCATTTTTCAAATACCAATTTCTCTAAGGGAGAATAAGTTGTTATTATTATTAGTTTTGTTTCATGTAGCTCACTCCAGTTTTTCTATTTTGCTCCATTAACTCCAGAATATGTCTTATAGTGTGCATTTTGTATGCTAAAACCAATATAAAGAGTAATGATGATATATGCCTGAATAATACATGAAGTAAGTATGAATATTCTCTATGTATGATTTTCAATTACATAGTATTATATTTTTATCATTTATTTATGTGTTATCACTATGTGGTGATCTGGAAAAAAATACTAAGAAAATTTATGTTTCTCTGTAAATATGTTTCCCTGCCTTTTAACAAATCTGTAGAAAAGAATTCCAATAACTGTACTCATAAAATGATGTGCAACATCACAGGTTTTTCATAGAGAGAAAATAGAGTGTTAAGAAAATTCACAAGCTGGAAACAATATAACCTGAGGTATGGTGAGGAGGGAGGAAGTTTGTTAGCAAGAGGCACTGGACAGTCCTCTGAAAATGACATGTCAGTTGGGCATGTCTCCAGCTCCAAAGGGACCGCTTAGGACTACATTTAAAGCTTTTGGTATCCAGATAACTAAAGGCACATGCATATGACAAAAATCAGGTGAGAGTATTGAGAATTAAAGTTAAAGACAATATTGTCTTCTAGGAAATAGACACACTTAGGCAGCTGGGACTATGACTCACTGCCAAAAAAAAAAAAAAAAAAAAGGAAAAATTCCTTTTGATTGAAGTAGCCATTTTGATTTAGGAAAGAAAGAAAGAAAGAAAATCAGGTGACTGTCACTATTAGTCATTTTTTCCAAAATAAATTTTAACGGTTTTTCTTAATGGCTCTTGAAGTATTTATAGTATCAAAGGAAAATAGATTTTTTTGAGATATAGTAGGATAGTGTTTCATAAGTATGATAGTTTCAATTATTGCTTTGCCCAGGTTTTTTTTTTTTTCTTTTCTTTCTTTCTTTTTTTTTTCTTTTCTTTTGTATTTTCTTACTGAGCCTGGGTTAAATAGTGTTTTCTCAACATAACACAAGCGAAAGTCACTTGGGAAGTGACTGAGACCTATCCTGTAGTCAAGTCTATAGGAGAGTCATGATGAATGATTGGTGTGGGAGGGCCCGGCCCTTGGTGAGTGGGGCTTCCATTGGGTAAATAGCTCTGCCTAGTATAGCAAAGCAGACAGAGAAAGTCCTGAGGAGCAAGGTAAGCAGCACACTCTATAACCCCTGAATCAGCTTTGCCTCCAGTTTCCTGTCCTGTTTGAGCTCCTACCCTGACTTCTTTGACAATGGAATGGAATGAGGAAGTATAAGCAAAATAACTTCCTCCCCAAGTTGACTCTGGTTATTGTGTTATTTCACAGCAACAAATACCCTAACTAAAACAGACCTAAAATACTAACTTTGGGGAAAGGATGATGTTCATAATTTACAAAATTTAATCTTTAAAACTGAAACAAATTACAACAAAGATATCCAGTATTTATCAAATGATGTTATAATCTCGGGATGTTTTCTGAATCACTCACGCTTTCTTTGCTGTCTTTGAGAGGTATTTATAATAAATTAACAGTACAGTGATGCCACTGTCCTCCCAGATGCAGATTGTTTCACATTTGATATCTAGCATCTGAGGTACCCAGGTCAGATGGTAAAGAAACCCACTGCTCTGAAGAGAACTGTGAACTATATAGCACACGGTACAATTTGTGGCTTTGGTCTAGTGTCAGTGATCCTTAAAGCATTAGGAAAGAAATGGTATGTTTGTGAATGGAAATTATTGGTATTTTTATTGAATGGAAATCAACATGTGTTTCTGGCTTACCTATATGAGCCCGTATAAGCCTATACAGGTTGCACTTTAAAAACCCAGGAAAACTTACAAACATCTTTAATTATATAGTAAAATTCAAGATATAGAGCTCAGATTAGTAAATCAAAGTTGTTAAACAGACATTAAAAATAAAACTCTGGCATTGTTCACGCTAAAGTCATACTTGATACACATTGAGGCATATTTTATTATCAGTTTATTCAGCTATGGAATTTTCATTTCCTTTAGTCTTTATCAATAACTAGCCTGAGTTTTCTTTGGCATAGACTGTCTTCACTGATGTCATACCTTTGCAGGCAGTGTCACAGATTTCATTTGTAAGCCAGTGCAGACATAATGAAAGATACTCATTGCATCTTCTATTAAATGATGAACAAAAACTAACACAAGATCTTAGTTTTCGCTATTGGAAACTAAAAGGATCTAATATGTTCAAAGGAATTGAACAAACTGAGAAAGACCGGCATGACAGAAGCTTGCATTTAATTCCATGCTTTGCAGAAATACATGATCAAAGTTGTGTGTGTGGCTTGTCCTTTGAGATGGCCCAATCTATTAATTTTTAAGTAGGAAATAATAATGGAGCAAACAGTAGCAATTAAGAAAAAAAATATCTTGAGACACATGGGACCTGTGTGTGCTGGATTAAGACACATGGAATTATTATACAACATTCCAAATACAGTATGAGAGGAAGAGTCAAAAGGCCCTAGAATGGTGTTCTCTCTCAGAATCGGGACATTTAACAGTTCTGTGTTCACAAATGGCATTGGTGAAACAATCTTTATTTTTTAAAGAATTTTATAGAAAGAATTTTAGCACCATCATTAAAAGAAAAGTAATAATATTTTAGCCCTGGCTATCTCCAGTCTTGGGATAACAACAGAAGCATAGCACCTTTGAATACCTAACGTATAAACAGGAATAGGAAGTCTCTCCCCGCTTCTAGAGATGAGGTAGCTCATGCTAAGAAGTGGTGTGTCATATTTTCTTATGGATGTTCTAATTCCAGTCCTCACATTTGATGGGAATGGTCATCACAACCCTGGGTTTCTAGATCTTTTTTATGACAGGCTCTGGAAAATGAGACAGTGCCTGTTAAAGAGTCTCAATTTTGTTCCTGGGCACACATGTTAGAAACTTGTGGGGGTAAATTTTTTTTTTAATTCAGTATCTTATTCAATAAGAAAACACAAATACAACTTCTATATGTATTGAAAAATTACAACAAAAAAAAATGAAAAGTTACTCAAATTTGAATGAGAAAAAATCTAAATGTATCAATCTTTACAAAATAAATTGTAAAGCTGAGGCAATTTCATGTTTTTTTTTTCCTTTCCTGAAATATGTTATTTAAAGATTTCATTAAAGACTGTGGGAAAGTGATATATTATATTCCATTTAAAGAATTTCTATAATGGTAATTCAATATCAAGACATGTATGAGCCACAAGGTAAAATATTTTGTGTTCATTTTTCATTGATGATCTGGAAATTAGAAGACACAGAAGGGTACTGCTTTCTATTTTTCAGATTGTAGCCAAGTAAAGTCAACATGTGCTGAGGTTTTACATACCCCACCACGTAAGCTACCTGCTAGGAAGGAGAATTTCCTCATAAATACTAAGCAACTTATCCATTACAGTGAAATGAATTGATGAGAACATATTTATTTTTTAATCAGTTTACTTTTTTTGTAAAGGTGGTCATTGTCATTGATTGTTTTAAATCTAAACCATCAAATTGAAAAATATTTTAAGTCAATTAAACTTGAGGATTGTAAGTAAAATAAATATTCTGAAGAATAAGGTGACCAGGCACTTCAGACCATATGTACAAAGCTGATGCAGGACCAGCCATTACTTCAAGAGTCTCAGGATCAACTTCAAACAGTCAAAGTTCTTGTGAAGGGTGGTGGTCATTGATGGTAGTGCTCATTGTCAATGATTCTGGGCTTCTGTTACATGAAACAAACTGGCCCAATTTCGATGCCAAATTCCTGGTCTGGGCTGCCAATATCCACAGGAGCAAGATCTATGATGGGCAAGCGGGCCACATTCTGTGTTCTGTATTCAAATATAGTCTTGCCCACATTTCCATTTTGCTTCTGGAATTCAATAAAGACAATGGATAAATAGTATATATTTCCAAGAATTTTACACAGAAACAACTCCCCCCCCACTCATGTGCACAATCAACTTTTATAACATAAAAGAGTGATATGTACAGCTCTGATAAGTGTGGTACACATGGAAGGAAGGAGACATAAAATCATTAATTCTCTATCATAGACTCATGAATGTTTATGGTTAAAAGTGAGAGTCAGTGATTTCACTTGCCAAAGAATGAAAGGAACAAGGAAAGTTACACAATAGCATCGTTCAAAAGGCAGGCACTTACGGAACAAGTATCCTGAAGAACTGTGTATCTGAATCTAATGTTTCCTTCTCCTTTGATTTCTAAGTCGTTTGACCCTTTAAGGACCACAGCTTTCTTGAGACTTTTGGTTTTATCATCCATGTATCCCACAGTGTTCCTACAGATGTAAGTAATGTTCTGGGAGGCTTCTTTTGATAAAAGGCGCAGGAAGGTCATCTGAGTAACAGCTGTATTAGGTGACTGGTAATCTCCATAGGTGAACTAGAGAAATGAAAGCAGTCTATGGAATATGACATACTGAAGGGGTTCATAATGCCACCCAAAGAGATGACAGATTGACGACAGGTGGATAGATAGATTAATGATTAACAGACTAGATAAATCACCTTTGAAGAATATTATTTGGTTTTCATATAATAAGCTCTTTTATCTATACAAAGAAAAGTATTTTCAAATATCTATCCATAGTCACAGCTACCATTGTCCTTATTCAAAAAAGAGGTTAAAAAAATAATGATTTTAATTTCCCAGAGAAAAGTTAAGTATCTTTAAATATGCTTTAATTGCATATATGCTATATACAGTATACTTAATAAATACAACTCAACTTTATCACTAATTAGAATGAAAATATGAATTAAGTGTAAGTATAAGTCCGTTTTACTGAAGTTACATACATATCATAATTACTATTTTCTACAACACAAGTTACCAAAACTCATTTCCAACTAGCTCTTTCCTATTCATCTTCAACTCTGAGTTCTGTTTTCAATGGTCTCATTTTTGTTTCTGACACATTATTTTGGTTAAACTACATTTTTTGAAATTTTTTTTAAATTTATTACATATACAGTGTTCTGCCTGCACACCAGAAGAGGGCACCAGACCTCATTATAGATGGTTGTGAGCCACCATGTGGTTGCTGGGAATTGAACTCGTGTCCTCTGGAAGAACAGACAGTGCTCTTAACCACTGAGCCATCTCTCCAGCCCGGTTAAACTACATTTTAGCTCTTTATATTTAATTTTAATTTCCACCAAGTGATAGTAGATTCTAGATTATTATATGGAGAATAATAACACTTTCATAACATGTTAGCTGGGGCAAGGTTGGGAGCAGAGGTGGTGAGCTGGGATAAAACATTGGCATTGTAAAATGGAACATCAAGATCTGATGAAGTGCTGAACCAACTAGACCATAACAGAAACATAAAATAGAGAGGAACTCAGAGAAAATAAAACATAATTCATCTAATTAGAAAAATGACTTAAATACTTCACAGGTTTCAAGGAATTTCATTATTTTTCAATTGTATCTAATATGTGTCATTTATTTTCCCAGACACTACACTAAGCATTAACATTCACAGAGGTGGTGAAGTCAACCTTACCACACTTACTTAAAGTAGCGGTCAATTGTGACCCAGGTCTCCTGGAATTGAGACAAGTCCCCTCCCACTGTCATCCATACTCAGTGACATGTATTAAAGGAACTAATATTAAAGATTATTTATCATTTCATTTTACTAAAAAGGAAAATTATAATGATAAGTCTATATGAAGTAACTCATGGTAAAACTTGTTTAGGCAATGATTTTGTAATAATTTCTAATGAGAACATATCACTTAAAAGTATATATAATAAAATAAATCCAGTAAAACAATAATAGCATAGTTTTAATAAATGTGAAAACATAATAAATAATAAACAGTAAAAACATAATTCTGGGTGAATATATTCAATCACATTAACTCACCTGAGCCCCTCTGTTCATGTCGAGACCATACCACACAGGCTTATCGTCAGGGGACTTGCTGGCCCACCAGGTTTTCAGTGGAACGCTGGCTGGATTTGCTGAAATGCATGTCTCTCCTGTTTCCATATTGCAGTAAACTTTGATTGCATCTTCAGCTGATCCCTGGTTAGGATCAATCCAATATTCACCTAATTTCCAAGATAGAAATATTTGCTAAATGAAGATTATCTCATTATGTGTATCTTTCCCATTATCTCATATCTACGCTTATGAGACCTTTATTGAAAATATAATTGTCTAGAGACTGGGAAGAAGGCTTGGCAGGTAAAGTGTTTGTCACACAAGCACGAGGACTTGAATATGGATCCCCCAAATCTATACAAAAGTTAGGTAGGTATGGTGGCCACTTATAATCCCAGATGTGGAAGGGGAAATTTGTGGAGTAAGCTGACTAGCCAGACTACCTAAAATGGTGAGCTGTGAACTCAGCTAAAAACTCATCTTAGCGTATAATATGTACAGTAATTAAGGAAGGCATCTAGTGCCAACCTTCTCCACATGTGTTCACATGCTACACACATGTGGACATACAAATATACATGCATGCAAACACTCACATAGGGGGAAATGCAACTATTAATCACTGAGGGCCTTCCCCATACTAACCACTATTCAAAAGCACTTCTTCAAATCACATGCTTAAGACTCAAAACATCTAAGTGATTTTTAAAGCAAGACACATCAAGACAGTGTCTTTGATGTTTGATATATAATCACATAGATATACAGACAAACAGTTATTCACATTTATTTATATAGGTCCATATACATGTGTATTCTATTATACATAACTATAAAAATTAAATTTAAATGAAATGAAAGAGGAATGGTGAGATATAAACTAAACAGTTAATAAGGAAAGTGCATTTCTTTAGACAGAACATTTTTAGTTGTCCCTGTTGATATCAAAATTCAAAGTTAACTGAAACTTTGGTATTTCCCAACTCATTTTTATGATTTTAGATCCCCCTTTTCTAGATCTATTTAGATTATTCAAATTACTGAAGAAGGCAGATTAAGAACACTGTCATACAAGTAAGGTAGAAACATGACTTCATTCCAAAGTACTTTAAATGCTCACTATACATGATCCTGACAGGGAGGATGGCAAAGGAGTGATTGGCAAGACATTAAAGTGTAATAAATATGTAAATAAATTAGGAAAATAGTTCTTTACTGATTTACCTAATGAAAATTCTGAAAGCATGAGCAAATGTTTTCAGCATGTAAATATGTGGACCATATCCACAAACTTGTTTTTGTTGTTATTTTTATTTTTTTCACAATTTATTCATTATATATCATCTCGATTGAAGCCCCCTCCCTCAATTCCTCCCAATTTCACCTGCCCTTCCTCTTCCCCTAGTCCACTGAAAGGGGGAGTTCTCCTCCCCTGCCATCTGCCCATAGCTTATCAAGTCTCATCAGGACTGCCGGGATCCCTTTTCTCTGTGGCCTGGGAAGGAAACATCACTAGGGGCAAGTGATCTAAAAGCAAGCAACCAAGTTCACAACAGAACTTGTCCCCCATGGCCCCCTCACTCAGGACCCACATGGAGACTAAGCCACCAATTGGCTACATCTGAACAGGGAGTCTAGGTTCTCTCCATGCAATGTCTTTGGTTGGTGCATCAGTCTCTGTAGGACCCCCTGGGCTCAGATTTTTTAGTTTTGTTGGTCTCCTTGTGGGGCTCCTGTCCCCTCCATGCCCTTCTATCCACCCTTCTTCCATAAGACTCCCTGCTCTCTGCCCAAAGTTTGGCTGTGAGTCTCAGCATCTGCTTCAATTCCCTGTTGGGTGGAGCCTTTCAGAAGACCCTCTATAGTAGGCTCCCATCCTGTTTCCTCTCGTCCACTGCTCCTGGTGTCTACCTGTTTGCCATTCTGAATGAGATTTAAGAATCCTCTCTAGGGTCTTCCTTGTTGTTTTTAGGTCTGTGGATTTTAGTATTTATCCTATGTTATATGCCTAATATCCACTTATAAGTGTGTATATACCATGTGTGTCTTTCTGCTTCTGGGTTACCTTACAAAGGATGATGCGTTTGCCTACAAATTTCATGATTTCCTTGTTTTAATAGCTGAGTAATATTCTGTTGTGTAAATATGCCACAATTTCTGTATCCAGTCTTCAACTAAGAACATCTAGGTTGTTTCTAGATTCTCGCTATTACAAATAAAGCTGCTATGAACATAGCTGAGCAAATGTCCTTGTTGAATGGTGGGGCATCTTTTGGGTATATGCCCAGGAGTGGTATAGCTAGCTCTTGAGCTAGAGCTGTTCCCAATTTTCTGAAGAAGCACCAAATTGACTTCCAAAGTGATTGTACAAGTTTGCATTCCCACCAGCAATGGAGGAAGGTTCCCCTTTCTTATGATATGTCCTTTATTATATGTGTAACTTATCACCTTTTCTTGATAGTTTTTTACGTAATTGTCTTTACCACAAAGCTATAAGCTCTGGGGCATGTTCAATGATTTATCTTTGTATCTGTCATTAATTATGAAGTTAAAATATATTTTGGGATGCAGTTGAGAATAATTCAACCTAAACAATATGCTTTGCTCAAACAGGTCGGTATCCACTCACCACTAGGCTTTGTGGAATGACAAAGCTTTAAGTCATCACATGTCCGGGCTGGGTGCTTCTTGGATCCATCGGGGCTGCGCATGGTTTCAATCTGACTGCTGAGAGACTTCAGGGTAGCATGAACCCCAGGATCAGTTTTGTTTGTGTCATCAGGAGCCGCCTGGTCTTCAGTAAACTCTGGAAGTGGATCTGGCATGTTCTCATCATAGTGGCCCATGATATCACCAAGAGCAGCAGTAAGATGGCCAGGGGGACCTGGAGGGCCAGGAGGCCCAGGTTCACCAGGAGGACCCTAGTGAAGGAAAAATTGAGAAAACATTGAACAGTGTGCTGTTTTGTTTTACTAAATTGCTGCTATGCTGTGCAGGGACTGATACAACTTGGCACACCAATACCTCAATACTTGAAGAAGTGTGAGTCACGCATGTTTAAACAGGCAGGGCCAGCCTGTCAAGTGATAGCCGTTTTTCAGGGGAAGTTATCTAACAGTCAGGCTCTGAGATAAACAAAGCTTAAAGCCAAAGCCTTGATGTCTTCTGTGAAGATATGGTATATCTCAAGGGAACAACATTCAGAGTTACATTCTTTTCAAAAACAATTTCACGATACAACTGGAATTCTTTAAAATAAGCCATGGACAGAAGTTAAAAAAAAAAAAAAAAGAAAGAAAAAGTGTGTGTCGGGGGAGGTATTCCAGGGTGTGGGAGCTGGTTCTGTCAGTCTTCGTGTGCATACCTAGACAATAACCACAAGACTCCCAAAGTGGAACTCCTTGGCTCATCCAAAGGACAAACACAGGAAGTCTTTGTGTATGTATGTGAATTGTGATAAATGTAAAAATTCTCTGTACAGAACAAAGTCCAAGAAAGGTTTCCATTAGTCTTTTCATAGCCTTAAAAAATGTTTCCTATTCTTCTGTTTTTAGGGAAGAACTGAAGGAATGTGAAGTCTCAAATAAACCTAAAAAAGTAGCAAAGATTAGAAGCTGAGTGATCTCCATTAGTTCCTCTGCATTTTCAGAGGAAGAACTCAAGAGTCTTTAAAGAGCCAAAGAACAACAAAAGAGGCAAGGAGACCACACCTCAGGTAAAGAGCACAGGCTAATGTGCCAATATTCACTTTGCCATTCACTGGGAGGCATCAGGCATATATATATATATAATATATATATATTATATAAATATATATATAAATTTACATATATATGTAAATTTTTATTAATTATACTTTATTCACTTTGTATCTTCCCCTCTCTCCTCCCCTGCCAGTCTCATCCTCCCTCTCCCTTCTCCATGCATGTCCCTCCCCAAGTCCACTGATAGGGGAGGTCTTCCTCTCCTTCTTTCTGACCCTAGGCTATCAGGTCTTATCAGGAGTGGCTGGATTGTCTTCCTCTGTGGCCTGGTAAGGCTGCTGCCCCGTCAGGGCTCTATCCCACAGGATATCAAAGCAGATGCTGAGACTTATGGCCAACCTTTGGGCAGAGTGCAGGGAATCTTATGAAAGAAGGGGGAGATAGTAAGTCCTGGAGAGGACAGGAACTCCACAAGAAGAGCAACAGAACCAAAAAATCTGGGCACAGGGGATTTTTCTGAGACTGATACTCCAACCAAGGACCATTGATGAAGATAACCTAGAACCCCTGCACAGATGTAGCCCATGATAGTTAAGTGTCCAAGTGGGTTCCATAGTAATGGGAACAAAGACTGTATCTGACATGAACTAATTGGCCTGCTCTTTGATCAGGCAAGATGTTTTAACCTCTGTGCCAAAGCTTCCTGATTCTCAAAAAACAGATGCTAGGGAGACAGACAGATGATAAATAGATGGAGAGATAGATGATTGATTTCCTGGTATATCATCATGATTTCACACACTCTAATACACTAATCTGAGAGGAAGATTCTTATCTCTCAAGATCACTGAACCATAAGAAAGTAAATCAAGGACCACAAAAGTCAAAGACAGAGTCTATAGCTGTTTTCTATTCATAGAGAAAGAAATAGGAAACTTTCTTGACAATGAGAAGAGTGAACCTATATAGAAACATAATAAATAATAAACATTTGAATCAATGGCATTGTCACTGGGGGATAAACACTCAAAAGGTAGGTAGGGTCAGATAAATAAGATAAAAGAAACACCAGACAGAAGCTTAAATGCACAGAGTGCATAGTGTGGAGAGGGAAGTGGCATATCTAAGGACAGAGATTAACTAATATGTTTTATTATTTGGTATCATCTTGTACTAAACACCATTAGATTTTTAGCTGAAAAATTAAATGTCATTTTCTGTTAAGAAAAGTTTCAAACTCATATTCTGTTTTAAGCTCTTGCTGTCGGTACCTCCCTGTCATAAGGGACATTACCGTGAAATAGGAGGTAAAAGAAATCCTTTCTTAACTTTATTTTGTCAGAGTTTTTAATAGATACAGGAAAGAAAACTAAAACAATTGTAACTTCAAACAGTGCAATATTTGTACAACTTTGATACGACTGCAGTCATAGCTTACAGTTGATATTATCTACGCATAATGTCAATTCAAGGGCTTGTATCTTGAGCGCTAATTTTATATGCTCTAAAAATCATGTATTAAAATACTTAAAACAATTTCTTTGGGAGATAACCTTCTTGTGACTTCTAGTTTTGTTTTAGGAGTCCCTTGAGACTTTTTTTTGGCAAATTAGAACAGATGCTATTGGATAGACTCCATCTTAGCAACAGCATCTTCCAGGCAAACTCTTGCAATCTTACCTCTGGTCCTGCTTCTCCTACACTGCCTCGTACACCAGGAGGTCCAATTGGTCCAAGTGGCCCAGGGTTCCCTTCTTTGCCTGAAGGACCTACTGGTCCAGGTGGACCCTATTAGAAAACAAAAAACACATTTTAGAAGGACTGTGCAATGTCTCTGCTATAAAAGAACAATTATACAGATGGAGTAATTACCATGATTGTTCAGATTCCAGTCTTAATAACCTAATAAGCGGCCTTTTAACATTTTGTTACAATTTTAATTTCTTTGTGTGTGAATGGCCCATCACTAATTCTAGATAATTCACGGTAAGTTAAAAACACTAGCAAGCTGGTCACCAGATTTCATTGATAGTAACTGTTTCATCAACTAGTTAATAAATTTTCTTGGAAATTTAATTACTTTAGAAGAAAATTAAGTAAGTTGAGTGTTTGATATAGTTGAAATTCAGTACTTACACAGCAGAGCTTCATCACATTACAGAACTTTCCTCAATATTATTCTCAGTTTATGCATATGTATGTTGTACTTAAATATAGCGGATTTGTTTTCCTAATTATCTTTCTAATTTTTTGTGTGAACTGTCTTAGGACACCACTGACTTACAAGAAACCGAATTTAAATGGATTTGGAATTTCCAAAAGCCTCAAGTATTAGTCCTCTTTTATAATTTATTTCCAAATTATCTTTGTATAATACCATATTTCAGGATATTTCTCTTTTAAATTACTTTCTAAGTTTGTCCCATGAATTTTCTGCCAGCTGCAGAGAACATGAACTAATAAGTATAAAATACCAGAAATATTGTACTCAAGAAACTATATTATGCCATGCACACTTGAAGCTTAATAGTTTCTGTGACTTACTCTTGGGCCAAAAGGACCAGGAATACCAGCACTCCCTTGTTCGCCATTTGGACCCTACACGAGAAGAATATTCAAAGTGTTGTTAAAATGTTTAAATACGGACTTGTGCTATATTTTTTACCTTTAAAAGTGTGTTGTCACTGACTTTAGCACTGCAAATGAAGCTACTCTTTAACATCTGACTAATAATAAAGGTAGCTATCTAGAAAAAGGGATACATAGCTTTTTCTTTAATTTTTCCCCACAATATTATAGCTAATAGATGGGTACTTATATTAGGTAACTATGCAATTATCCATCAAGATGATTTTGAAGCTAAAATGATATACAAAAGCATCCACCTGGTCTGCAGAGGGATAGAGGGATGGGCGCTCCTAGAGGGATGGGCGCTCCCATCAGCACACCAGTGTATTCTCATGGGAAAGGATGGCACATAAGCAAATAACTTACAGGAGGGCCAGGAAGACCTTGCAGGCCAGTGAAGCCTCGGTGGCCCTTCTGGCCTCTGTCACCTCTGTCTCCATTGTCACCCTTGTCACCTCGAGGTCCTTGTGGCCCCTAGAAATAGTCAGGAATATTAATTAAAATTTCAATTTCCTGCAATTTTACTCTTTATGATATTTACTATAATTTTAAAACAGTTTTTCTAAAAAAATAACTTCTATTTTCCATGCTTCCTCTAGGAATGCTACATTTGCAAATAAACTGATTGGCTAGGGAGGACTGCTGAGACTGTTGGAAACAAGGCTCACTAGGTGTATTTGTATCAACAGCCACCAAATTGGACTTACTTCTCACTCAGTAAGAACGGATTCATGCCTGGCATTGTAAACTTAGCAAACTGTCCATGGTTAGTGAGGTCCTGGACCCTAGAGGAGAACTTTGTACTATTAGGTTCTTAAACTAGCTCCAAACCACATACTTATCCTTATATCTACAGATAACTGAAGCTCTAGAGCCTCATCACAGACCACCACAGAAATCCACAACTGATCAAAATGCAGAGAACAACTGACAATGGATCCCTATGCATGAGTGGTACATCTATACACAACCCTTACACATAAAATTCAAGGAAGATCATAAGATCACAGAAGAGGAGGAAATGAGGCTTCTCCAGGAGCAAGCCCTTGATAGGTTATCCTGTCCCAAGGAGTCAACCTCAAACGCATATATACATATGTCTGAGGAACACTAAATGGACTCAAAAGGTTGTATTTATTTCTATTCATATAAATAAATATTCATAATATATACATATAAATAGAATAAATATATATTTCTCTTCTTTTTTCTCTAACTTTTCCAGTACCCTTTTCTTCTTCTCAATTTTATGACTATTTCTTCTGTTAATATCTGCACACACACACGTGTATGAGAAAAAAAATGCTATGTCATTCTCATCATCTGCAATATCTGTTCCAGAATCCAAAGATCCTGATCTTAAAATTTTTAAAAAGAATCTTATTTGTGTTATAAACTACAGCCAGAGAAGTGGTAAAAAAGTATCTGTAGGGTAGATTCTGTTGTTTATTTAGCGTGCTAGAAAACAAATACAGCTACAGGATTCAGCAGTTACCGGTAAACTGACAGGTGACATAGAGTGACCATGTGTTGCCCTTAGTTTCCTGGAAGAAGAGTTGGGATCCTACTAATCCGACTGTAGAGAACGAAGAGAATCATCAGATCCACTGGATTTTAGTTTTATTTTGTTTGCCTTCTTGGTTTAATTTATGTCTCATGACCATCAGATAGAATAAGAAGTTTTATAATAAAAAAAATGATGTATCAGTGTGAAAAACATGATCCATAAGACTGTCCATAAAAGATATAAGTAAAAATTGCCTAGGAGCTCTGTACATATAAGGGTATTGCCAAAATTCCAGCCTAGACAGCTGGGATGGAGAGCCATGGGAACATGTCTTAGGCAGACCCACTGAACTGACCAGCTCACCTCCACACGCTGCAACTTGGTTTTGCCATAGGTCATATAAACTAGCATCCCAGTGGTAACCCATCCGTGGGACCCATTCTTGCTGCTTGGGACCTCTGCTTGCTTCCTGTCTCTCTAGCTCTCACTTGCAAGCTATGACAAACTGCTTTCTAGTAACTCACCCTCTGTGTTTTCCATGAAATCTACAGGTACCTGGAAGCCACTGGCTAGGGGGCCAGGCATTGGGGGCCTTTGAATTCCCAGGATCTCATCCTCCCTGCCCTCACACCCCCACTTCTGCTCATTTGAACTAAGAAAACCCCATTGCTCTCAGGGACCCTCAATTTTTTTCATTTTCAAACTCAATTCTCTTGTGACTTTTACTACAGCTTAAAAATGTACTGTCATCCACATTATTTCTTTGTAATGAAATCTTTCAAAATCTGTTTTCAAGCCTTCTGAAATATTCCTTATTACACCATATATGTCATTACTGTTACCATCTCACAAGTTTCTGGATCCTATGAATCAGTAATTTTCCAGCAGCATTCCCTTCCCCCCAATTATTTATAAATCTTAAATTATACTTCTTTTGGGTATATATTTCACATAAGAAAACATATGTTTGTTCAGAAAAGATACAGCTTACAGGTAAACCACGTTTTCCAGCTCGCCCAGGTGGTCCTACGGGGCCCCGAGAACCCTAGAAAAATATTCACAGTACTTAGCATCTTAAAAAATAAATGTAAATATGAATATAAATAAAAGTGACATCAATATGAACACATATATAAATGTACACATTTATAGCTAATGCATTGATGTCTCTCAAATGTCTCTACTTCAGGTAAGAATGTAACAAATTACAGTGAATTCTATTTATTAGCTTGACCAAATGAAGCTCATTTTAGTTTACTATTAAATGACATTAATTGCTTAATTTTATTCAGATGTATTATAGTCCCTATAAATCACAACCTGTTCAGATAAAGTAATTATATCAGTATCAAATCCCATATGCAAAGCAAATCTTTTTTTTAATTTATAATTGTCTGTTTTTCACTATGTAGAGTCCTTAACTAGCAACATATGCGGGATTGGATACATATGCACATGGATACAGTATAAAATATCAGTGTCATAGAGCTGTAAGTGTGGAGTTGCCATCCTTACTGGATCTCCTCTTTGTCCCGCATCTCCTGGTGCACCAACAGGGCCAGGAGTCCCAGGGGCGCCCTGAGATCCCGGTAGACCTGCCGGTCCGGGGTCTCCACGATCACCCTGATAGGGATAAACACAGTATTAGTCTGTAAATACTTATTTAGTTACAATGAGAAAATACATCTTTCAAACATGTTAGTGTATTATCTCACTTAATATTTTACTGTTTTTTGCTGGCCAATAAGTTAAATCCACAGGAGTAGGGTTGTTCTCCCCTTCAGATCTTATCCCCCTTCAGCTCATGCTGTTCCCTAAGTCCAGATTGCTAGAGTACAGGATTTAACATTTACTGCTCTAATTTTCTAGATCTGCGGTCTTCAAAGGAGTGTCCACATTTGCAAAACACAATGAAACTTCAGAGTGTGAAAACAAAGAAAATGTTAAGGAAACCACTTCCTACATTTTCAGCTCCACTGAGTTCCTCAGAAAACTGGTTCTGGGTGTTCTTTACCTCCTTTCCTCTTAAAAATCACTCTTCCTCTAGCTTATGGGAGAAGGGCAAATACCATACTAGTTGGAGTTTATTATGTGCCACACTCTCAAAAGTAAATGATTCTCAGGGCCAACAGGAATGTCTTCAGATTGCAAAGCTCACTTGGAAGAAATGGGAAAGAAAGAGGCCTCCCCACATTTCATTCAGATGACTCCATATGACAAGGCTGGAAATAGCATCTCCTTAAGGAGGTGCAGGTGTGACCAGTGTGGCATGAGCATGCGCAGAAACAGTAACTCAAAAATAAGCCGTCAAACCTTATTTTCTGACAGACATTAACTCTTGACTCTTTAATTTTGTAGCTAGAATAAAAATTGGCATCTAAGTTAAAGAACATATAAACTGAAGGAAAGATTTTGAAAAGCAAGTAAAACAAAAGAAAAAAAAGTCATTTAATATACATATACAATTGTATTATAGAGGACACTTCCCGTTTTGTATTTAACTTTGTAATAAATAATAAAATGGCAATTCAAAGTGTACATAGAAGATCATGGAATTGCAATAATATTTCTGGGGGCGTACATCAGGATTTTTGAATGCTTTCTGCATTACATGTGTACGCCAGCAAAGGCAAAGACTCCAGATGTCAGAAAATTTCTGTGGCTATGATAGATAACGAGCATCTTAGGCCAGGATACTCCCAAACTTTTCCATCTCCCTGGTAATAGTAAGATAGCATTCTTGAGTGCTTACCCTGCAGAAAAATTTTTAGCCTGGTGTTAACATATAAACACTTGCACTAAGATATTTAAGCTATTTAGAAACAGGTTCAGAAAACTTAGTCTCATGTAGCTGGTTTGCCTTTGTGGCCAGATCTGCTTCCTAACAGCTGTGCCAGTACCAAACGGGACTCAGCTGCTGTTATACCTTGGGAAATTATCAGCTCAAAACAACTAATTTAAAAGTAGTCACCTCATCCACAGTTCAAGAAAGCATCATGCTTTATATCCTTTTATATCCTTGAAAATTACTCTTTTTAGGGAATAAGTAGAAAAATGTAGATGTCACGTGGTTGTGTGAGTGATAGAGAAATTCAGAAAATCCATTTACATCTTCATCCAAAGCCTCTTATGTTACACCAAATATGAAAGCAATTTGGTGTTTTGCTCTTGAAAATATGTGTCATACTTTGTCATGCATTCAAATATTATTTTATTTATGATTATGACCTTACTAAAGGGCTTAATATCAGAAACATCAGAGTTGCACTGGAGCTATGAGGATAAAGAGTAGTTTTATTATAATTTTTTACACAGTGATTTCAGGTTTATTTGGGTCTAATGAGAATTGTACTTACCCGTTCTCCGACAGCACCGTCCCGTCCTGGGGTACCGTCATTACCTGCTGGACCCTAAAAAGAAAAGGGTTTGAACAGAATTTCCTGAGGAGGTTTTTGAACTCTCATCTCAGCTGACAGAAAACTGACCAAGATAAAATAGTGCTCAACAGGAGCGACTGTAGGAGAGCGACAGCGCCCATCTCTTTTCTTTTCAATTGCTTGTAAAATTACCATATTCTTTCTTACTCCACATTCATTCCTAGTCCTGATTAAAGGAAAGGTTCTCGGGGGCATTGAAATAGATCGCAATTACAGTGCGGCTATATTGCATTTGCCTGAATTTCCACTTTGTCCAAATATTATTTTTAAGGTTTTGAAACCAGATAACAGTGTTTATGTTATATAAGATTATGTTTTAAAATATAAATTATTATTTCCCTATTTTAATTTCATGTTTTTCAGAATCATATATTTTTTTATAAAATTAGCTTTGAAATCATTGATTAATTCTTTCAGGGAAAAGTGATGGATCAGTCTTTAAGCAGCTGAGCAGAGGATATTCCTGCCTTCAGCTTCTCAAATTTTCCATCAAAGCCTTATTTCCTCTCACAAGAGACTAAAGGGACATGACAGCCATAACATGACTTTATAGTGATTAAAAAATATCCTCTACTACCTCTCCCTTCTTCATGAGCTCTAATAGTTTCATTAATCCTATCACCATACCTTGACAATTTTGATAAATATCCCATTACAGAATGAGATCATAACAAGGGAAAGATGAATGGCTGTGTCCTTTCATTTTCAAAACAATTTACTAAAAGCTAAATCAACCAAAACGCTCAATTCAGCTTTTATGAAAGTCGGTACAAGGGCACTGAATTTGGTTTCTCTATCATTTAGCTAACTCTCTGTGGAAGTGGAATGCATCAAACACCATGACAAAAATCCCTCTTACACTCATATGTATAATCCATTTCTAGACATCTACATTAATTTCATAATGAAAGAATTATTTCCATCACACAGCTTAAAAACTAACGTATTTTCTTTAAGGATTGCAGCACTCACTTCTGGTCCAGGTTCCCCTACAGGACCATTGGAGCCTGGCGGTCCTACTGGTCCAGGGGGACCTTTATCTCCTGTAGCACCAGTCAGTCCTACTTTTCCTGGTGTGCCCTGAAATTAAAGCACAGTACGTAAGGCACTGCAGAAACAAGAAAACCGGATCACATAAAGCTCCATTTACTCTGTAGTACTTCAAACTCTTCCTGTAATCCAGGATCTGCAGCATCCACTCTTGCTTAAAAACATGTCTACCTCTTAGCATATTACTCCTGACCTATCACAGAGACCAAAAGCATCCTGCACCACCTGCTTAGGTATGCATTTTGTGTTCGAAACATATGTAGTCAATTATGACTATGTTTCTGAAATCTGTATCATTACAAACAACCCTATCACTCCTGCTTTTTCCGCTCACTTTTTAAAAATGTGTTCAGTATTTTAGAATCATCGTTCAAGAATTTTACTTTTCAATTTTTGGCTCAATTCTGATATTGCTAAGATAAACTTTAGTTTCTAATTTGTGAGCTTCATATTTATACCCAACGGTCTAGTTTAACACACCAGGAGTCCACATTCTGTTTAAAAACATTTGTTTGTCAAGGTTGTCAAGCGATAACATTTAAGATCAAAAGGTTTTGAAAAGCTAGGAATTTATGCCAGCTTAAGACTCTTTGAACAACTTACCAAGTAAAACAAATCAATTCTTTCTGCAAAAATTATATAACATATATCAGATAAATATTGATGAACACAGCTACTCACCGCTGGCCCAGGAAGGCCAGGCATGCCTCGCTCCCCACGTTGTCCAGGCATTCCAACAATTCCTCTTTGCCCCGTGGTACCAGCAGGACCAGGGGGGCCATCTGGACCCTAATGGTGATAAAAGACTATAATTACTACACTAAAGAATGGGTCTTTATCAGAGGAACTTATATAGAATGTAAACACTTGTGAGTTCCAGCATAGCCTTTGACATTATTCAGCTATGGAAGAGGAACTTGATAGCTAATGAAAGTATAAAGAGATTGCCAATCCCCCCCCCAAAAAAAGTCTTTCTTCCTTTTAAAATTTTCTTTACATAGGAAACATTTAACAAAGAATGTGTTTGGTGTAGTTTTAGAAAACATGTTTATTTACCATTTTGTACTTTTCTACATACACTTTTATAGCAAGAGTTAGAAATTGAAAATTTATAGAGCTTAGTGAGATGAAAACATTTAAGAATATTTCCAGAATAAAATTTTGATAGATTTTATGCAGAGATTATTAATGGTTTCTTCTTATAAATATTTCGGTTGATGTTGCAGTGAAACAGATGCCAAACTTACAGGTTGTCCATCTTCTCCTGGGTCCCCTTTGTCTCCTGAGGCACCAGGTGGGCCAGCTGGTCCTCTATCGCCCACTCTCCCATGAGAGCCAGGGTCCCCACGAAGACCAGGAGGTCCTTCCTTCCCAGGCTCTCCTATAGGTCCTGCAGGCCCTGGACCTCCCTGGTACCAAACAAACAAACAAACAAACAAACAAACAAAGGCAATGAAGAGGGCAGAATGGAAGTAAAGTAAGAAGAGCAGACTTAGAGGGCTCAGCATCAGACAGAGGACAGAGTCCTGCAGCATAGTTTTTATCTCCTTAGATAATTTGTCACTGAGGACACTTAAGCAAAGCAAAAAGAAAACAAATCATAGTTGTAGTTTAATGCTCTGAGAAAATCTTAAACTCTGTTTTCAGATGACCACTTTAATCCTTCATTATTAAAAGAGTTCTGAAATTAATTTTACATTTCAAACTTACTTAATGCTGTTTCAACTATAGAGTATAATATTTCATTTCATTTAGACTGGCTTGAAATGGCCTTGTGACAGGATTTACTAAAGAAACTTTGAAGGGCTGATGTGATGGTGAAGCTAATAGCTAAACGCCCTCATGGCTCTTGCAGATGACATGGATTTGACATGTGGCAGCCACAACTGCCTCCAACTCTAGTCCCAGAGGATTGAACACCCTCTCCGACCTTTACAAGCTCCTGCATTTGCACGGCACACAAATTCGTGCAGATCTACGTAACAATAATGAACTTTTAGAAAGAGCATTTCAGATAATCTAGAGATTCTTTCTAAGTGAGATCGTAACATAACAGTATTTAGTCCTTGACTAGAATAGCAGTTAAGCATTGGGTTAGTAAGAACTTGCAAGCAATCCTCTTCAAGTTAATTGATTTGCAACTTTGAACTTGTGCTGATGAAATGTCACTATGACTGCCAGAAGACTTAACAGAGAAAAACAAATCAATGAGCTTAAATAAAAATAATAATTAAAATATCACATTTGTGCATGCAAATATGTACAATGATTTAAATCTAAGCTGACTTACAGCAGGGCCAGGAGGCCCAACTCTGCCAGCAGAGCCAGGAAATCCTGTAGCACCCTGGGAACGAAATATCATACCATTAGTCCAGAAAACAGGAGTCAGTTTTCTACTTTCCTTGAGCCTGATTTTCACACAAGAGGGTCTGGGCCTGTTATTTCATTCCTTATTTATGACCATGTACCTTTTTTTGTTTTTCTCATGCCTCAAATGTTTTAGGGAATCTGAATTAACTGGTAGAAGTGACATGGTTTTTTTTCTGTTTTTTACTTTTATCGATTTAAACATGTAAAAATAGAGCTAAGAGTTTCACGCTCTACCAGCTGAGTTAGCTGGGAACTGAGCAGAAGCCAGAGGTCTCATACCAGACCAACACGTCATTGCAATGATCTCTTGCAAGCAGAGCAATGTGGACAAAAGACTGTACTGTGGTACACACTGCGGCACACCACAGCTTCCACAATGAGCATTTTCTTTCTTTGTGGGGGTTTTGCAAGGGTGTTTGAGCAGGCACAAACAGGGAAGAGATGAGTGGGATTGGGGTGCAATATGTGAAACTCACAAAGAATCAAAAAATATGTATTTTTTTTTAAAAGTACCACAAAACCACACTGGTATTTTGGATAGTTAACTACATAAAGTGTTTTTACTTAGATAAACAATACTTATGCTCCATATAAAGAAAGAAGCTGAGTTTTCAAGATTTAAAAAGCTGATTTTTCACCCAGATCTCCAGCTTAAGCCAAGTGCCCTTTGCTCTATAAACAGTAGATACATAGAATAGCATGTTATCACATCAGTAGATAACAGTTACCGTTTATATAACCAGGACACAGTAGATATTTGCAACTGATTGTGCCCAATTCACAGAATAACAGATAAACTCACAGGTGGGCCTTGGGTTCCTCGACCACCTTTCAGTCCAGGAACGCCATGAGGACCCTATGTGGGAGAAGCAAAAGACCACTAGAGTAAGCCAAATGCATGATGTTTACATTATAAATATTGGTCCCTCATACCTAAATGTTTTTTTTTATAACTCACATGAGGGCCAGGTGATCCTGCTAGACCTTGGGGTCCAGGAGACCCGGCATCTCCCTTCTGCCCTGGCTCTCCAGGCTCACCCTTGACTCCAGGCTGTCCATCAGGACCCTAAATGCAATTGTCCAAATGAGCAACTATTTTTAAAATTTATAAACAAATTATTTTATATCAATTAATGCTAACATGACATTTAGGCTTATAAATATTGCTATGTAATTAGTTTTAAGCATGGTATAATAATGCAATTCTTTAAAACTTTCTCAAAAAATATCAGCCTATTTTCATCATAGAAAATAATTATATAAACTAAAATTATATGAGCATCTTTTGTTCCACCTATTAAAATACGTTGAATAACACATAAAATATTTTAAGCTTTAGAAAATTTAATATGTCTAAAAAGATATCTGAATAACTCTTAAAGTCGTTACTTTACCAAGAAGGGTATTAACTTTTTCTTTTTTCTTTTTTTTTTTTTTTTTTGGTCAAGACAGGATTTCTCCGTGTAGCCTTGGCTGTCCTGAAATTTCTCTGTAGACCAGGCTGGCCTCAAACTCACACATCCATTTATCTCTATCTCCCAGAGTGCTGGGATTACAGGTGTGTGCCACCCTGCCCAGCTAAGGCATTAATTTGTAACTTAGACATATTTGAAATTTTTACCTGGGGTCCAGCAAAACCAACAGCTCCAGTTGGACCATTTTCACCACGAGAACCCTAAAAGCAGACAAATAGTACTGAAGCTTTCACACATATACTATACATTTTTGCATAGCTAACGATATAGAGAGAAATCGACTACACTGCTTGAGGAAGAGCCTTAAGAAAAATAATAAGTTGGAAGTCGTTGAACAAAATCGTCAAGATCAACAAAACTTTTTAATTACTTAGAAAACAAGCTACTTGTCTTGATTTGATAGATTGTGAGGCTGATAATCTTTAAGATTAATAAAAAATGAAATTTGAAAACCAGGAAGTTATAAATAACCACAGTAAACATGAAAATCACACTGAGGTTAGAAGACAGTGATTAATGCTTGATAGATAATAGGAGATAGACATAAATGATATATAAATAAATGACAGATTATGATGATAAATAGATAGATACAATGTAGATCAATAAGAGAGACATCTTTTTAGTGTTCAACCTCACACTGAAACAGCAAAGATTTTTCACTTACAGGATTGCCACGGGAGCCAGGAGGGCCAACTAAACCTCTAGGACCAGGTTCACCCTAGAAGAAAGATTTTCAGTAGCTAAGTACACAATGCACAGTGAATTGGAGAATACGAGGCACACGTGAAGGTAGGCAGTGGGGAAACTCTGAGACGAACTGTCTTAACCTCACTGTTGAGAAACAGCAATCATTTAGGCCTTCTTATTTTGGAGTGTACACTGCTATCTTCCGACATACCTTTTCTCCAGTAGGGCCTGCTGGACCTGGAGGGCCCAAGGGGCCTGGAAGACCCTGTAAATGAACAGAACATAGGAAAGTATATATCGAACTTCCATGTTTAAGTAAGTAAGCAAACAAATCAGCTAGTTTTGTTGCCTGTCTGCTTTTGAAAGTCATCACCTGCCATAGATGACATCTCCTTCTATATTTTCAATACTTTTTTAATATATTTCATTTTTTTTAATTTTTCTTTTTTATCTTTTACATATTTATTATTACAATTTATTCAATTTGTAATCTGGCTTTGGCCCCCTCCCTCATCTCCTCCCAATCCCATCCTCCCCTCCCTCTTCTCCCCCATGCCCCTCCCCTAGCACTTTTGATGAGTCATCCAGACACTAGCACCTAGATTTTCCTCTACAAAACATTTTTACCTCTATCATCTAACTCTGCTCAGTACTCAAAACTGTCTTTAAATTGGTTCTTAATTTGCAGTGCTTTCGGCTATCTTTCTGTTTTTATAACGTGTTCAGTTTTGTAAATATCTACTTTGAAAGTTGGGTATAGATTGAAAATTGGCTTTTCTTTTGTTATGTTTTTGAATTTTTAATATAAAAATAAAATGTAATTCTTTTATTAAAAATGTAATTACACTGAACATCTCTTCAGTGTTTAAAATGAAAGAGCTCATTGTTGTTTGCGCAGTTCTGAACATAGGGAGTGTAGGACAGCCTGGAGCTTCAAAACACATAGCCACAATATTTAAATGACTAGATTGTTGGAGTTCTTTATGAGCAGTCTTCTGTTAATTTTATGTTTCTTCTTCATAGGCACCTCAGTATTCTTTTGTTATTAAAGTTATATATATATATTGTTGAAGGAATATAAAAATAAAATTTGCTTATTAATTGTATTCTTGAGAAAAAAAAATTTCTTTTCTCCAGCTATATAAAAAAAACTGAAATCCAAGTGGATCAAAGACCTCAACATAAAACCAGACACATTAAATCGGCTAGAAAAAAAAGTGGGGAATACCCTAGAACTCACTGGCACAGGGGACAACTTCCTGAACAGAACACCAACAGCACAGGCTCTAAGATCAACAATCAATAAATGGGACCTCATGAAATTGAAAAGCTTCTGTAAATCAAAGGACACCGTCATCAAAACAAAGCGACTGTCTACAGATTGAGACAGAATCTTCACCAACCCTTTGTCTGATAGAGGGCTAATATCCAGCATATATAAAGAACTAAAGAAGCTGAAAAGCAGCAAACCAAGTAATCCACTTAAAAAATGGGGAACAGTGCTAAACAGAGAATTCTCTGTAGAGGATTATCAAATGGCAGAGAAACACTTGAAGAAATGTTCAACCTCATTAGCCATTAGGGAAATGCAAATCAAAACAACCCTGAGATTTCACCTTACACCCATCAGAATGGCCAAAATGAAAAACTCAAGTGACAATACATGTTGGAGAGATTGTGGAGAAAGGGGAACCCTCCTCCATTGCTGGTGGGAATGTAAACTTGTACAACCACTCTGGAAATCAATCTGGCGCTTTCTCAGACAACTAGGAATAGCTCTTCCTCAAGATCCAGCCATACCACTCCTAGGCATATACCCAAAAGAGGCTCAAGTACACAATAAGGACATTTGCTCAACCATGTTTGTATCAGCCTTATTTGTAATAGCCAGAAGCTGGAAACAGCTCAGATGCCCCTCAACTGAAGAGTGGATGCAGAAATTGTGGTACATCTACACAATGGAGTATTACTCTGCAATGAAAACTAAGGAAATCATGAAATTTGCAGGTAAATGGTGGGACTTGGAAAAGATCATCATGAGTGAGCTGTCCCAGAAGCAGAAAGACACACATGGTATATACTCACTCATATAGACTTATAGGAAAAACCTAAAATCTGTCCATCTAAAGAAACTAATTAAGAGAGAGGACTGACTAAAACACTCAATCCCTATCCCGAAAGGCAAAGAGTATAGACATCAGAAGAAGAAGAAAGCAGGAAACAACCTAGGAACCTGCCACAGAGGGCCTCTGAAAGGCTCTGCCCTGCAGACTATCAAAGAGGCTGAGACTTTATGACCAACTGTTGGGCAGAGTGCGTGGAATCTTATGTAAGAAGTGGGAAATAGTAGGTTATGGAGAGGATAGGAACCCCACAAGGAGAGCAACAGAACTAGAAGATTTGAACACAAGGGTCTTCCCAGAGACCCATACTCCAACCAAGTACCAGGCATGGAGATAACCTAGAATCCCTGTGCAGATGTAATCCATGGCAGTTTAGTGTCCAAGTGGTTCCATAGTAATGGGAAGAGGGACTGCCTCTGACACAATCTGATAGGCCTGCTCTTTGATCACCTCCCCCTGAGGGGAGAGCAGTCTTACCAGGCCACAGAAGATGACAATGCAGCCACTCCTGATGTGATCTGATAGACTAAGATCAGAAGGAAGAAGAGGAGGACCTCCCCTATCAGTGGACTTGGGGAGGGGCATGCATGAAGAAGGGGTTGGGAGGGTGGGACTGGGAGGGGAGGAGGGAGGGGCTTATGGAGGGATCCAAAGTGAATAAACTGTAAAAAAAAAATAATAATAATAATAAAAACGTATTTTTCTAAATACATGTATATATTTAGAAACCCTCTGAAAGCTGTGTAAAAAACAGTTTGTTGCTCATATGGATAGTAAACATAAGTTTCTTATTAGTTTAGAAGAGGTTATTATTAAACAGGGAAAACATGTTATTATTTTTCCCTTACAACAAATGTTCCTTTCCTATTGCACTTACGAAAAACAAAGCAGTAACCATATTTGCCCTGATCTGTCACACGTATTTTCATAAATATCATAGATACAGGGATAACTTTGTGTTTTGCTCCATTCTTTCATGGAGAACTTTATATTTTTGTATTGCTCTGATGCAGAGTAGAATAAGTACCCGCTGTCAGTTTACATCAAGTCTCAGTTGACATCATTTTTGCCGTCTTGAGTATGATTCAACATGCGTAACTTTGCTGTTAGTACTTAGAGCAAGTTTGGAGGGTAACAAATGAAAAGGTAGGTCTGTAGCTCATGGCAGACAATGTCCTTTCCCTTACCCTTGCGCCATCATTTCCGGGTGTCCCTTCAGCACCTTTCTCTCCTATGCCACCCTAGAAAAACACACAATCACAAAACACCAGTTGCTCATTCAGGTATGCTTCCTCTTCTCCAGATGAAGCTTCCTGAGGGCATGGTTAAATTGTTGCCTTCATAGTTCCACCCCTTGAAGACCACAGCAGTACCTGGCCATGCATATTCTCAATAAACAAGAGTTATCTTTAAAATTGACTAATGCTTCAGGATGAGACAAATAAAGAGTTTCTTAGGAAATTACCATCATAGACAGTCTAAAGACAGACACTGCAAAAATTAATTAATAAAAAACAGGACTTACTCTGTCACCCTTAGGGCCAGGAGTCCCTGCAATTCCTCTCTCTCCTGGCATGCCTTGAAGACCTGGTGGTCCTGTGTCTCCAATGGTCCCAGTGGGACCTGGATTGCCCTAAAATAAATGAGACAACATTACTATATTAATACTAAAACCTGTGAAGTTGCTGTTTGAATAATTGAGTGTTAGCAATCAGATGGAGTTTAGTTTAAAGCTCAGATTTTGCATTAGGGAAATTGTGTCTGAGTAGGATTTCTTGAACGTGACTTAGACTTTCTTATTTTTTTGGCTTCTATTTCTAATTTCTCTCTTTTGTTCACTTCAGCTTCTCTATTACATTGTTCTTTTACCTAACTTAACCATTCCTTACTATACTTATTATACACAATTAGCATATCAACTTAGGGTTTGTTGTGACATTTTGAACATTATATGTCTTTGATGACCCTCCTCATGCCCCTGTAGCCCATGACACACACTGCACTGCGCCGTCTCCAGGGGCATCTTTTCTACACATGTGTCCTATTGCCTCCCAAAGCCAATATCCATTTCCACCTCTCATGCTCTCCACCCTAGTTTTATTATCCATACCCATCCTCTCTTTATAGAAAATTAAATATTAATTCAAAGAAAAACAAATATCCTTTCAAATGTAATTAATTTAATTACCCTTGCTTTTCCCTTCGTGGCCTTGGCAAGCATATAATAATAATAATAATAATAATAATAATAATAATATTGAATTTAGGAAAAAGAAGCATTTCATTACGTCCTTGAAAAACCTGTGTGATTAAGCTGGTTCCCAGCTGCTTTTAAAACCAAACTGAGATTGCCTTTGTTAGATCACTGTGGACCTTGATAAAGTAAATGGCGCCTTAGTCAAATAATCTCGCAAAATTTCCTTTCAGTTTCTCTCATGAAATCTGACGTTGTCTTCTAACAGTCCCAGAATGGCCCGTGAAGGCACACAAGCACGTTCTCTCTGCTGTCCTGTATTCAGGGCTATATCTTTCCATACATAATTGGCCCCAATTATCCCAACGATAATTGGGGCCAAGACAACAAACATGGAGCACATTGTTTGCTGTGCCTACGAATAAACTGTGGTTTTCCATTTCCTGTCTCTGTTCATTCATAGATGTTACTAACAAAATACTCAAGCATCAGGAGTGTGTGTGTGTGTGTGTGTGTGTGTGTGTGTGTGTGTGTGTGTGCACATCATCCTGACCCCAGGCTCATCATTCCCACCACTGAAACCTTATCTCTTATTGCCAGATAAAAAAAGTTAAAATTCACCTAATAAAGATTTCTTTGAAGAAGAAATAATTTAATCAGGTTTTCCTGAAAAATCCATAGAAGATGTGTTCCAGAAGCAGCTGGTAAGTAGTAGGGCTTCCAACCGCCCTGGTCAGGTCTGTACTCACCTTTGGACCATCAGGGCCGTGCCCTCCAGCCATGCCTTTCTCCCCAGGCAGCCCGGTTATGCCCGGCTCTCCTCTTTCTCCCGGATTCCCTCTTTCTCCCTAGACATCAGAATGTGAAATAACTTCAATGTAAATCTAAAATAAGTTAAAATGTTTACACAAAATGTTTTCCACTGGTGAAATTTTGGTAATGGAGCCATAGAATAGAGTCATTAGAAATGGCTCAGGTTTTCTAGTTTAATGACAAGAAATAAACTGGAATTAAAGATACTCTCTGTTCACCAAACAAAAATTTTTTCCAAATAGTAGAAAAACTTAATATTTACAATAAAACACACTCTAAGACAGAAGATTTCATTTTATTCTGTAGCCAATGGGAAACAAAATGAATCACACAGAATAAAACACCTACCCGAGGTCCTAATGGGCCAACTGCTCCAGGCTCTCCAGGAACACCCTAGCCAGGTTTGAAAAATAGAAGATAAACATTGATCTAGATCTTGTATCATTAGAAACATTTCCAATCAAACATTATTACATCTGTAGTATACCATTAAAATAACTATTAAAGAATTAAAAATATATATACTTTTACAATTGAGAATATTATTTTTTCTGCAAAGATTTGTACTATGCACAAATATTTGATTTTTTGGCAATGAGAATGTACAGAATATTTTCTTACAAAAATAGCATATTAGATTTTTTTAGACACAACAGAACATAGTTATATTGTCTTTTTAAAAACAAATTATTAGAAGGTGTTCAAATAGTAGAATAACATACAAAAGTATATAAAAGCCAGTTGTTTCAACTAATTCAATTTCAATTAAATTGAATTTAGTAAATAAATTTTGTTTGTGTATGAATTATATGTATATGAATATATATATATATACACACTCCAATTGTGGGATCAAAAGAGCAGTCATGCTATTTCAAAACTTCTTTTCGTAAGCTCAAAGAACCTCGTGGAAGAGGGGCAGCAAGGATTGTAGGAGTAAGAGGAATCAAGGACACCAGGAGAAGAGAGCCCACAAAATCAACTAAGCAGGGCTCACAGGGCTCACAGAGACTGAGGCAGGAGTCAAGGAGTCTATGTTAGGCCCTCTGCATATATCTTATGGCTATTAGCTTGGTGTACTTGTGGGGCTCCTAAGAGTGGGAGTGAAGGTGTCCCTGACTCTTTTGCCCATCTTTGAACCTTCTTCTTCCTACTGGGTTACCTCGCCCAGCCTGGATACGAGGATTTGAGCCTAGGCTTATAACTTGTTACACCATGTTTGGTTGATATCCCTGGGGGGCCTTTTTTGTTTTTGTTTTTGTCTTGTTTGTTTGTTTTTAAGGAACTGGAGGAGTGGATATGTGGGAGAGGGGGTGTGGGGGAGGGACTGGAAGGAGTAGAGTGATGGGAGGGTGAAGACAGGATGTGTGATATGAGAGAAGAATTTTAAACATTAATAACTTTTTAAAGTCTGCTTCCAGATGTTTTTTTTGGAAGTACATTGTACCCACTATAATAATCCTTCTGATCTTATATAAAATATTAGTTTTGGGAAGTTTTCCTGTACCTTCTCTATTGCAGCATTTGGATAACAAAATTATTATACTGTTTTACTATATTCTTTCTTTCTCTCTCTCTCTCTCTCTCTCTCTCTCTCTCTCTCTCTCTCTCTCTCCTCTCTCCAATTTTGGAAAATACAGAGCCACATAACCCATGATCAATTTGTTCAGCTGAGGAGGTCCAGTCCATTCTATATGCCAAGCACATAGAATGTTTAGCAAATGTTTATTACATGGTAATAAAGAAATTAATTCCTCTGTGCCAGTAAAATATTTATATCAGCTCCAGACTGTGAATCACCCACTAAAATTGTATAGCATAAGATACACAAAAAGCATGTGAATTGTAAACTTAGGAAGCCTGTGAGTAGAGTTCAGACAATATGAGCTAAGCGACTTTGAAAAAGTTGCACAAGATCTGAGTCCCTTCATCTGTACAATGGACATAATTGAATTGTTGAACATAAAAAGAAATCTAGGACTTCACTCTTAAAACATGCTGTTATACCCTCAATTTGTATTTTTGATGTTATTACTTGAAGACTTACTTGATCACCTGGCTTTCCACCTTCACCAGGAGGCCCTGGAGGCCCAGGAAGTCCCTAAAACAAAAGTGACAATTAAAATAGTAATTCACTGAAAGTTTTATCAGCTACCAATCCCAAATAGTTTACATTTTATACTTCATTCAGTCTTCATGAAAAACATTTCTTGGACATTTTAAGCAAAAGTTATGAAAAACACTGTCTAAATACATAAGAAAGCCACCTATTAGAAAGCATAAGAGATTGTCAATTTATAATACTATATTCTTATTTATCCATACCACTTAAAAATTAAGATAAGACTATAATATAAGGTACTTTATGTTTGTAGAGTCTATTATGGCTCTAGCACAGTGTTTGAACCTGCTAGAATATTGCTGAAAGAAGGTCTGAGGTTTTCACAAACAAATTGTTTTATGCCCGTACATGGAAGCATTCTGTGATAATCTGTTCATTGAGAAGTTTGGGTGACTATACTAATAGAACCAGATAGGCTTAAGTTTAATAAGCATTGTTGAGATACTGGGAACATTTTACTATTGTTAATTTCTTAACAGCTTTGTGTTTGAACATTTTTTTCAGAGAAAGGTCATTCCTTATCCTTGAGCAACAATGTTTGGTTATATACAACTATCTATCCTATAAAGGTGTCTATTTTGAAAACTAAAGAACTCTGCCTCATTCAAACATTCTATCATGTACATGTTTACAAACACATTCATATATACAGGGCCTCACTCTATATTCTAACCCTGCCTGGAACTTAATAAGTAGCACAGGCAGGCTGTATATTCACAGCCTTCCCACTAACTCAGTCTGCCAACTGGGAGGAGTGCAGACGTGAGCATTGTCACCTCGCTACAAAAAACTATTTTAAAAAGCAATTCATAGAATAAATGAAAATGTAAATTAGTGCATACCTGAAAGCCAGTAGGGCCCGGAGGTCCCTGCTCTCCTCTTTCCCCAGCTAGGCCCTAAATCAAAGAGAACAACAGCATGAGTTCCACCAGATCTTTATGTCTGCTTCTTGCATTCACGGACTAGGATGACTTATTTTTTTATTTCTTCCAACCACCTACTTTACATATTAGCCACATGGAAAGCTAGTAATAAAAACACCAAATTTATTATCTGAAGTCTTTGAAAGGGAGAAAATTTTATTCAAAAAGCCAGTGGAAAAGTTACAGCATGGTTTATTGCTGTTGTTTTCAGTTCAAACATAAAAGGCCTAGAACCAATCATAGATGAAATATGGGAAACCTATTATTTCTTACATTCAATTTAAAGGGTTGTATTTCGATTGAAGTTCATTTCTAGTTATTGTCATTTCAAAATAGAATGATCAAAGAACACTATGTTAGCTGACCCACAAAAACTAAATGTCAAAATGTCTTTGAAAAACAATTTTAAAAAATCTGAAGATGAAAACTTTATATCAAAAGATGAGCATCTTTTATTTTTTGAAAACCAGCCAAATTAAATACATTGTCATAAGATATTTTATCAGAATAGAAGTATAATTCTGCATTTATACATTTTAAATAGAATACATTATAAATGTTTTCAAACACTATTTTCCTTAATTAATGTATTCAACTACAGTACACAAAGACGATAGCATAGCTTTTGTCACTGTTTGCCATTTTACAGTTTAAAATTAGATCAGTCTTTTTACTAAAAGGGAGTACATCAGAGGAATAAAATGAAAAAAAAAAACCCTGAAATTCCTCTTCAGTCTCTTGTTTCCTCATTCCATTTCCCTGAATCATATTTATAAGTAGTCTTGGAGAAACAGTGAAAACTGCTATGTATAATGTCATCGAAAAAAGTCACATACCGGGGGTCCCACGGGGCCTGAAGGACCAACTTCTCCATCTTTGCCAGGAGCTCCCTACGACCACATAGACATTTTAGGTGAGGCCATCAGAACTCGTATGGTTTCATATCTGTTTTATTCAATACCAGAAAATGGATGCCTACCCTTTGCCCAGGCACACCAGCATTCCCAGCTTCTCCTGGTTTTCCAAGGTCACCCTAAAAAATAAAAGGATGCTATTCTAAAATCAACGAATTCAAAAAATACACCTCGCTGTCCACCTGCAGACTCCAGTGGGCTGTGAAACTCTGTTCGGTACTTACACTGCTACCTTTGGGGCCCGGAAGGCCCATGCTCCCAGGCTGCCCTCGGATGCCAATGGAGCCTGGAGGACCTGGCCGGCCATCTTCCCCAGGAGCACCCTGCAGGGTTGACAGCAGGTAGGTTAGTTGAGTGTGAGTGGTTTCTAAGTCCTTTGCTAACAATAGAAGTCATTTTAACTAAAATCCAATTTGCTTATGTTTATGACTTAGTAAATGAGAAAAAAAATTAATGTTTTTTTTAATATATATATATAAATCTCTGAGGTACTATGAGCATTTAGAGCAGAATTATAATTTTGCTCCCTTCACAAGCCTCATTGCCATCATCTCCTGGCCTTCTTGTCTTTTATTTACTCTGTTTTATGGTGTTGAACATTTAAAATTCAACTTTCACACTACACTATAAAAAAGAGACTCAGGTACATAAGCCAACAACATATTTACTTCTAAAACATGTAAAAGTGGAATGCCATCAGGGAATGACGATGTTATTAAATACATTTTAACAGGATTAAAATAAATTACTTCAAATTTTTCACTGATGTAATTTCAATTTCAAATGTCTAATAGAGAAAATTTAACATATATTTTGTTCAATTTGAAATTTATAATTTGTAGATTCTAAGGAGTTGCTCCTAGGGAGCACTTAAAAATGTAATCATGACCATCACTCACAGGATAAATAAATGTAACTTGCACAACCATAGAAAATGGTAATAGTGGTAGAATTATTTCAATTACTTACCAAAGGCCCAAGTTTTCCTTCAGGACCTTGAACACCAGGATTTCCTGTCAGGCCCTGACAATGAAAATCAACTGTTAATTTGTTTCCAGTCAGCAGATGAAATAAACTTTAAACAGAAAAAAAAAAACAAAAACAAAAACAAACAGAGAAACAGTATTTTATTGTAAACAACTAAACAGAATAAAAATTTAACTGACATTTTGTTTAATTGAAACAAGAAGTTTCTTTACCAAGGGTCAAACAAGTTATTTTAGCATCAAATTTAGAAGCTGTAAAAATTTACAAACAGGTAGTGAAGCTGTTTGGAAAAGGTATTTTAGAAATTACTGTATGTTATGTAGACATCAAAAATAGCATGCCAGTGTTTTTAAAATAATGCATCCATTCATACCTATTAAAACAATGCTCTATGTCATAAAACAAGCTAAGTATAAAAGCAGTTAATGAAACGTTAAGAATGCGGAGGTGCTTGGGTGTTGATATAGCATATAAACACAGGCTTCTTACCCGAGCGCCTGGAAGTCCAGGTTCACCTGGACGTCCTGGGTCCCCCTGGCCTCCCTTAGGTCCTGAGGAACCTACAGGCCCACGCTCTCCTTGAGCACCCTATTCCACAGAAGACAGACAGGGCAGAAATGAAGCAAAACAGAAGAAAGTTAAGTTCTTATTTTTCCGAACACACTAATATGCACCCTTTTGTCAAAGACAGATTTAAAAACACTGTCACTGAATATTTGCTTCTAACTTGTATCCCCTATGAAAATCATCTTATCCACCATAAAGTAAAGCTGAAGTCATAGCCTCACTCTAATAAAGAAAGAATTTTAAAGTTTAAAATTTATCTAAAAATTACATCAACTATACTAAAGCTCTGCAACATTTTGTTCTCAGAAGTACCCTGGAAGTATGGAAGCAAGGCTATTCAAACCACCATCTACCTCCCAGGACTTCCCAATGCTTAACAGTAAAAAAAAAAAAAAAAAAAAAAAAAGTTTCAGGGTTAGCCCAATACCTGCTTCTATGTCCTTTGTGGGTATGTATTCATGTGGGCTGGGTACACATCCCATTATAGAAATGTCAGCCTTGGTGTGATCTTACCTTTGGTCCAGGTAAACCATCAGACCCTGGAAAACCACGATTGCCAGGAGCACCCTACAGTGGACAACAATGCAGTTTTGAGATGTTGTTTATCATTGTTTCATGTATCTACTGAAAGGTTTTAATTTTGGTATTATCAGATTTTCAGAGATCTGATCAAGTTAACACAGCAGGAGATAAGCATAAAGAAAATAATCTAACTATAAAAATTTAATTGAAAGTTTGACAAACACGAGTAGTGAACCAAATTCTCTAAAGAAGTCCTCCAATAATTAATTATAAAATAACACATAAAAGGTAATATATAGACACATGAAGCAAAAACATTGTCTATAGTGATCAAAATGCCAACAGTAGTGGTTTGGTGTTTTTTTTTTGTTTGTTTGTTTGTTTGTTTTGTGTGTGTGTGTGTGTGTGTGTGTGTGTGTGTAGAAGACCTTGGCTTTCACTAAAATTCTGTACAAACATGAAATTACCATTGTCCCTTCAGGACTGTTTTCTTATACTCTACTTTTTCCTACTTTCACTTTCCTACTTTTTGAAACCGCCATGTCCTTTCTTGCCCCCTCGGCTGAGAATTCATTGTTCTATCTCCATGATCTACTGCAGGCTTCTCCCCTTACAGTCTCAAGCTGATGTCATTTCACATACCCGTGTCTCCTACCACTGAAACTAGCACCTATCAGTTAAAAACAGCCATGGTTACTCTCCACTGCCCCCAATTGTTTAATAGTGCATAGGGTGCTTATGAAAATGTGTTTTATTTACCTGTTGACTTCTTGTTTACACCCAGTATTTTAAACCAGTTCACTACAACCCGTCTGAGGATTAGGATCAGTAGTTTCTTGTTCACGGTTGCACCCCGAGCCCTTAAAGCTGGAGCTGGCCTACACTGATCAGTCAGTTAGGAGTGAAGCTCACGTAGACACTTGACGATTTTTACGTAACGAGAAACATGCTACGCCCTGTAAGGCATCTGCACCATCTCTTAATTACTCCGTGTTTTCTTTTTATTCAAAAATTTACTCACGCAACCACCCAAAACACACATATGGGAGAGGAAAGGAAGACTGAATGTTGTTATTCAAATTTACCCTTTCTCCCATTGGTCCTGGAGGACCAACTGTGCCAGGATCGCCTCGAGGACCTCTTTTGCCTTCTTCACCAGGTGGGCCGATGGGACCCTGAATTCCATGTGGCCCCTATTAAAACAGAAGGGCAGGCTTCAGGAAGGTATTCTTTAGCTTAAAGTTAGGAAACTCATCTAGTGAAGTGAGCAAAAAAAATTTAAAGAATGTTAATTACTTTATCCCGCTGTTATTAAATGGTTGTACTTTTATCATTAAAATAATAAAGGCTTACTGGTTCCCCCTTTGGGCCAGCTTCTCCTTTGAAACCTGGAACTCCTGGATCGCCCTAAAATAAAATATCAATGGTTGAAAGACGTGGGGAGATCTGCCAACCGTCCACTTTAGGTACGATGAATAGGCAGCTGAGTCTCTATTAGATTAGTACTAACATGAAATGCAATACTTTCTGTGGGGGTGTGCATGTCCATGTGGAGTAAGGGTACTTGGGAGAAGGTGACTGGCACTGTAATCCTCCCTAGTCCGAGGACTACAGGCATGTTTCTCCATGCCCAGCATACATATAAAATAGCAATTAATGGAAAAGGAGGTCATGAATTTTGAAAGACAGCAAGGAGTATATGGGAGGGTTTGAAGGGAGGAAAGCAAAAGCAGAAATTATGTAATTACGCTAAAATCTGAAAGCATTTAAAGAGTAATATAAGAGACATTACCGGTTGTCCTCGGATTCCCTGTGGTCCAGTGCTGCCCTGAGGGCCAGGAGAGCCAGGAGGCCCTGACAAGCCAGGGGGCCCAGAGGTTCCAGCAGAGCCCTACCAACAGCAAAGGTAACATGATGAGCACAGAACTTGACAGAATTTAGAGCTGAGGATTACATCCCTTTGAAAATCACCTGACAACTTGTTTAGGGAAGACGCTTAATTCTCATTCAGAAGAGAAAACAGGCTAGACACCAGAAGCAGTGAAAGCGAGGGAATAGGATGCTAGCCTACCACAGATGTCCTCTAAAAGACTCCACCCAGCAGGGGATCGAAACAGATGCAGAGAATCACAGCCAAACTTTGGACAGAGTTCAGGGAGTCTTATGGAAGAAAAGGGATATAGAAGGACCTGGAGGAAACAGGGCTCCCAAAAAGGAGCCCAACAAAGCCATAAAAGTAGAACCCAGGGATCCTGCAAAGACTGATGCATCAACCAAAGACCATGCATAGAGAGGACCTAGACCCCTGCTCAGATGTAGCCCAGTCTCCATTTGGGTTTCCTAGTAAGAGGAGAAGAGATAGTCTTTGATATGGACTTGGTTGCCTGCTCCTTGATCACTTATCCCTGGTGGAATGACCTAGCCAACTCACAGAGGAAGAGGATCCAGGGAGTCCTGGTGAGACCAGATAGGCTAAGGTCAGATGGTAGGGTAGGAGGACCTCTTTTATCAGTGGACTAGGGGAGAGGGATAGGGGAGGAAAAGGGAGGGAGGAAGGGTAGGGCCAGGAGAAGATGAAGGAGGGGGCTACAACCAGGATACAAAGTGAATAAATTGTAAATAATAATTATTATTACTAATAATATGAAAAGCACCTGACACAAATGCTGTTACTTACTGTGGGGCCTTTGGCACCAGGTGTACCATCAGTTCCCACTGCTCCCTAAAAAGCACATGAAACACTTTTTGAAATATTAAGCTACCTACGACACATTTGATAGTATAACAAAAAAGCATTTTTCGGAGCTAGCTCTTCCATATGTTAGGCACTTACGGGAAGACCATGGGAGCCGGCTGGACCAGGAGGCCCAGTTTCACCTCTCTGCCCCTGAGGACCCTCTGGGCCTCGGGCCCCAGTAGGGCCTGCTTCTCCCTAAAGGGATGGGAAAGATATGTTAACTTAAATAAATCACTAGTATTGTGGTGTAAAGATGATTGCATATTTGGTATTCTTCATTTTCATTTTCTAAATACCTGAAGCTACTAAGGGCTTGTTTCTTTTCTGTGCAAACCTGGACATTTGAAGTCCAGCCAGGACTCACACAATTAAAGCTTGATTGAAATATAGAAGGTAGCAGGAGATTTCCAAATGTACCCACAATCCAATACCATTTTGTAGCTAAAATTTGTTGTAAGCTGAATAATTCTTTAATAAGTTAAACCCACCATAAAATTACATGTGAAATTTCACACTGTCATTTAGAGACAAGAAATAGTTTTCTTTTCATAGAAGCAATATGAAAAATTGTTTCAGATGCAAAATATGTTTTTACTTATTAAAAGTTCATTTACTGACCTTCAAAGAAACATTTATTCAATAAGATAGAAAACACCTGCTTTGGAAGTGCTAATAAACTTGATGACTTCTGGCCACAAAAACAAGGAGCCAATGCATGAACAAATAAATAGCACTTTCTTTTCCAGGAATAAGAGCATATTAAAATAACAGTATTCATACTGGAGCAAAGGGCCATGTTAACCTTTACTTGAGTCCAAGATGATCATCAAGATAGCAAATCCAAATGCAACATATTCAGTTAACTTTTGTTTCATAAAAAAAATTTAGTATGTTTCTTCTTTGCAATTTTTGAGGCACATTTGTACCACAAGTTTTTCCTATGTTTTTCTGAATTCAAGCTTGGCTCCTGTATTTTATCTTGCCTATCATGTATCTACATACATCTAATCTTAGAGGAACTAAGAAAACTAAAATTGTAAGCTCTAGGAGGTTAATCTATAGTAAAAAAAACATATGAAATTCCTTCCACCCTAAGCTGAAATACATATGACTACATGTGAAAGTTGATCCATATATAGCCAGAAACTATGGTACAGTCTTAGAGAAATGGCTCAAAAGCAGGGACCCGGGAATTTTACGATGAGAAAGTGAGAAGGCAAAAACAGTAAAAGTTCTGAGGTATACACAGCTCACTGCATGTTTAGGTTTCATTAAAAAGGAATCAATAGCTAGAAATGAGAACTGCCAATGTTCAGGGCAGCAGGGCAGTTTCACTAGTAACTAGTGGTGTAACTGACTAAAGATGATGAACTAATGCCCAACCAGAGGCCGAGTGAGCAGAAACTGCTTCTGCCATTTCACAGACCAGGGCTCAGCGAGGAGTACCCTTTTGTTATTTTCCTAACCAGAGCTCAGTTTGAGCATGGAGGTCTCAATGGAAGCATTAAATGTTTTCTATGTTTAAATAAGGACAGGAGGGAGATTGGGTCAAGAGGCAACAGTATGAAAATTTGGACTTCAGAGTTGGGGTGTAACAATTGTGGATACCTCCGTAAGTGTGAAAGACCATAGGCTTGAACCCCAAGGTCAGAAAAAGAAGAGGATTTTTAAAAAGGAGAAAGAAGAATGGCTAGTATTATGGAAACATGAATAGGGAAAGGAGGAGGAAGGGGAAGAACAGAAATGCGGGCTTTAGAGGGGTGAGGTCCTAAAGGAACAAAGAGGTTCTCAGTAAAAGCAGGGACTAGTTACTGACATGACTTAAGACTTCAGCTTAGAGCTTCCAGCCTGAAAAACAATTTGACTAAATGATTCTCACATTCAAAAAAAAAAAGAAAAAAAAAGAAAAAGAAAAAAGAACCAATTTAAAACAGCAGCTTCTTTCAATTTCTAAATTCAAATTCAGTATTAGTATAGCTACTAAGAAGAAGCATGAACCTACACTGTATTGCTGGATCATGAAGGATTTATGTGAAGTATTTATACAGATTATCACACTTAATCTTAAGACAGAATTCTATTATTCTATTGAAAAATGAGGCACAGAGAAGCCCCTGATGGGCCGTGAATGTAGTTGTATTTGCAAGCTGAATTTTGTAAGGAAATATTTTTCAAAATAAAGAAAGTTCCTGCTTCTGGAGCGAGAGGAAATCATTTCCTGTGCCTCCTAAATGAGAATTAGTTATTTGTGATTTAGCTAGTATAATTGCCATGTCCTCCTACTATAATCTTTGACTCTCTCCCAAAGAGCTGAAAGAAGAAGTTGGTGACACAATGTAATCTGCACAGAATGCTTTAATCCACTCCCACAAGAAAAGCCAAGTGTCCTGTCTTTGTCAGGGCTTGGGCAGGGAGGGGCAGAGTAGTGGCCAGCATGTTATGACAGAGCAGCCTTTTTTTTTTTTTGGCAAGTTCTAATTTATTTTAACTTCATATTGTTTAAAACAGTCTGCTATTGATTATTTTCCACACTCTATCCAAGAACAGAGTGTCCACTCAGTTCAAAGATGCTTTTCCTTACAGCCATTCCAAGAGTCTGTCTATAGAGTCCAATTATATGGCCTTAAGTAACTTTTCTGTACTGGCACATCATATTACAGCTTTCATTCTTTTCTTTCTAAGTTCTCTTGCTTAAGGACCATGAACATATTGCTCTAGGCTCTTTCTCTTCTTAAGAATAACTCCCACATTCTTCAATTACTGAAATGCCCTTCATTCATCAAGTATGGTTACTAACTTACCTTCATTCCAGGATTTCCTGGAAAACCAGAAGAGCCAGGTATCCCAAGGGGACCCTAAAGAAAAAAACCATAGTAAAGTAATCACATATTTTTAATTAATATACAATAACAGCATTTTTCTTTTCTTTTTTTTTTTTTTTTTGAGGAAAAAAACCTGCATGTACACCTACATGCCACAAGAGGGCATCAGATCTCAGTATAGATGGTTGTGAGCCACCATGTGGTGGCTGGGAATTGAACTCACGACCTCTGGAGGAGCAGACAGTGCTCTTAACCGCTGAGCCATCTCAGGCCCCTTTATTTCACTTTTATAAGTAATAAATTTATCTTGTGGAGATGCTTGAATTCACTTTCACTCTTTCAACAAGAATAATATAATTTCCATAGGCTATTTAGCCGTAATACTATTATATTGGCTATATTAATTGAATAACCATCTTAACTGTAAATGAAACATAGCACCCTTTTGGAAACCAAGGTACCGATACTATAGAACTAATGAAGCAGTAAAAATTATGCAGTTTGATTTTAAAAGCTATACATGAATTAATTGCTTGACAGCTCAGAAAAAAATTATGTAACTCAACTATTAGAAAGAATTGGTTTTCTTTTGTTATAGAGGTATAATTTAAATCTTTGGCACAATAAATGTAAAGATTTATATCCACTGCAATTCCGTTTTTACATGAGCTGTTGAGATACCCAAAGGATCTTAAAATACCTATGGAGAGAAAAGGAATGGGTCATATATACATGAAGAACTGCAAGGAAGACAAAAAGAGAGTGACATGTCATAAGTTGATGAAACTGAAGAACTATGGATTTGTCTTGATGAACATAGATTCAAAAATTCTCAATAAATGCTTGTAAACAGAACACAGACATGCACCAATTTCAGTTAAATGCCGTGGTGTACCCAACTCCTTAAGCCAGAAAACCAACGAGTAATTCGACTTTCTTAGCTCCAAAATATGTGATGGACGTCCCTTCAAATACAACATTTTATGTTTACAACGTTACAGTTTCTTTATGGAATGATCTGCTGCTATTCATACTCTGTCCTGACCATTTTCGTCCATCCACAACATCAACCATCAACAGCTGATGCTCTTTCCAGTCATGCCTGCGCTTCGTGCTGCAGAATGGTGTCTCAGTACCGTGACAGGAAAGAGATGAGGCATTGCACAACATAGCAGATGGAAGTGTGTGACCAAGTGCCTGCCTGATGATTCGCTTTTACCCTTAGTATTTCCTTCTTTTTTTTCATTTGCTGATTCCATAGATGGAATTACACTCATGCCTTTTGTTTTGTTTTTGTTTTTTAAAACAGGGTTTCTCTGTTTAGTCTTGGCTGTCCTGGACTGACTTTGGAGACTGGGCTGGCCTTGAACTCACAGAGATCTGCCTGCCTCTGCCTCCCTTAGTGCTAAGATTCAGGCGTGCACCACTAGGCTTGGCCACTCATGCCTTTTTATATATCAGTAACTCAAGGATTTTATTTGATAATTATTCCATTTTACTTCTTTATTTACAACCTTTACCTTTCATAGGCTTAAGCACATCCTCTCTGTGTTCCTATATTTCAAATTCACTCTATGTAACAACATTAACGATAGTATTATACATCTATATTAATTAATATATCCAGCTCTGAAAAATAAGAACTGTGCTTTTGTGTTTTTATTCCAAGTGTCTAGAACACAGTGGGTGTTCTGTAAATGTCTACACAAAATAAATAAAATAATGAATAAGTAAACAAATAAATAAATAGATGAAAATAAATAATGATTAATGGATTACAAATAAAAAATGGAATTATTAATTAGTTACTATGAAAAGAATACAACTCACCATTGGTCCAGGTTTTCCAGGCATACCGTGGGCACCTCGTTGTCCCTAATTAAAAAAAGAGAGAGAGAATTTAAAAGATAAAAACAATTGTGTCTTCCACAGTGGTTTTTTTTTTTTTAAAGAATTCTTTTATCTCTCACACAAGTTTCACTGAAATTTTTGAAGAAAATATTAAGGCTGACTAAGAACAAGTGAGACTGACCTGATGGCAACAAAGCAGAGAAGGTACCAGTAAACACACTTATCCTCGTATCATTAAAAACAAGCAAACAGAAAACACTTAAAAGTCAATACTTAGAAAACAGATCTAAATTTTCCTTACTTAACTGTTTCACCCTGTGTCATGTAAACTTGGATACAATAACAGTTTGAGCATCTTGGCCTTTTACTGACCAGATTAACTCTGAGGACAGGGCTTTCGCAAATAAAGAACAACAAAAATAATAACAGAAGAGGCAAAACAATAATTAAGTTCAAATAGATTCTGTGGGATTCATGCAGGTCTCTATTAGGACAGAATCTCTCAGAAGAGTCCAGCCGGAGTAGGACCTGGTGAAGACTGCAATTGAACCTCTCCCTGGAAATGTCATCAGCCTTTCCCATTGCTGCTCTATCCTTGGTCGTGTCTACAGAGGCTGAGAACTCTCTGGGGTCTCTTGTATTGGGAACACCATCTAGCTTTTTCTTTTGAAGTCTGCTTCCTTTGTTCATTCTTTCATGGCTATACTTTCTAACTGTCCTTCTTCAATTTCCCATATACAAGTTACAGCTTTCAAGTTTTTGTCTGGGAAAACTGTCCCATGGCCTAAAGTCCACTGGTGTCAAATGTGCTACAAGAAAGCAGACTCTGAATTACACAGTTTAAGCTGGATTCCCCACTGACCAGTTAGCAATAGATGGTGGAGAGACCATCCTTGCTTGTGGTGGTTGTAACAGCAGAGTAAAGGAATGAGCTAAGCATGCAAAGGGTATCTTGGGCATTTAGAAAGGCTTAATAGAGAACAGACCAAAAGGAAAATGGTGACTGACCTGAGGAAGGAATGTTCTATGAATTCTCATCACAGCTTTCAGAATGTCAGGGCATACTAGCTAGTATTTCAAACTTGAAGTTTATTTCAAAATAAAAAATAATCCCATCATAGAGTTATATGCATATTCAGTAAAACATAACTGAAAAGAAGTTGAACATAGTTCTCAGTAAGTAGATGGTTCCAGTGTACTTACAGGAGCACCTTGTGGCCCAAGTCTTCCCCTCTCTCCTGGCATTCCTCTTGGTCCCTACAAGTAAGATAGAAAAATGTCTCCTCAGGCATCTAATATAAGTTCTAGGCTGATTTTATTTTACTGTCCCATCCAATTTTGACATAATATAAATAAAATAAAGAAAACTATGAAATAGTATAATTGATATAAAAAGGAACATTGAAAGGAGTAAATTCAATGTGAAAATCTATGGAGATGCAAACCCTGACACAATAGATTACACTTAACCTGGATTTTAAAAGCTAAGTAGGTAAGAGTAAATTTTTGTTACTGTGCTAAAAGTAAGATTATTTAAAAGTCAAGAGAAGCAGTGAAATCCTGGAAGGACAAACTTCCCATTAAGGTAGCAAATGCTATTTGATTGCGTTTCTATCAGCTACTGTTCAGGGTGTCTTCCCAGATAATAAATGCCGTTTTACTCAAACAGTTTATTATTATAATCTGAAAAATAAAAAAAGAATGTGATGCTTACCAGAGGGCCCATGGCGCCCATTGGACCAGTGGGGCCAGCTTCACCCTAAAGCACAGAAGAAAAAACGTCACAGTGTGAGAGATCTAACTATAATTACCAAAACGCTGTATGTATGTATGTATGTATGTATGTATGTATGTATGTATGTATGTATGTATGGTAGGTATGATTTTGAAGTCACAGCTTCAGAAAGGACATTTGAAAAATGTGCTTTCAAAGGAAAAAAAATTCTATCTTTTCTTAAAATTTAAATGAAAATTTAATCACCAAAGAAATAAAGTCTAAAGCTGGAGATTTAAAGAGGTTGATAAATTGACATCTCTGAGCAGTGGGTACTTATTTGTCTAACATATCCCAAATAAAAATTTTAAAATGTTAAAAGTAAAGAGAAAAAATGTTAAAAGTAACTAGATTATTTAGAAATAAAATAGAAACTTAGAAATAAAAATTTTAAAACCTTTTTTTCATGCATGTTCCTTGATAGAACTGTGCTATTTTCTCTACCTATAGAAACAACTCTTTGGGGGAAGAAAAAATGGCTAGATGGTCATTTACGTGAGACTTCCTCTTGTCTATATTACCACCTCTTTAGTATCATACATCAAGTTGAACAAATACCTTAGCACCAGTTGCTCCAACTTCACCTTTGGGACCTTCAAGTCCTTTCTGTCCCTAAGAAGAATAATATAAATTTATGAATATTTCTAGCTTTCATCAGTTTAAAAAAAAGGCATAAAAGAAGAAAGACCTAAAAATACATTTATATAAAGCCCCTCATGGAAATAAGTATTAAGTAAAACCATTGCTCACAATATTTCTAAAATTTCACAAATAATATTCTCAACTTAAAGCATTGATCTTCAAAAATATGTGCCTTCCTGGAAATTTAATCTATACTACAAAAAAAAATTACACTGATCCTAGACAGATTAGAGTTTATATAGATATTTTAAAAATGCATGCTTAGGTGGGGGTTATCCTAGAACAAATCCCCAAAAGACACACAAAAAAAATGTTATTTGATATCTAGTACAGCAACATACATTCTGTGAGAATTTCAACTACTCAATAATTGAATGCTGGCCTTGTTTTTAGAAACGTAATTTGATGGAAGACAGACAGATGGCACTGACATTCTAACACGGACACATATATAATAGAGGGCTGATGATAGATTATGTTTATGAGCACTATGTTTACTAGTGTTGATTATATTAAGTCTTTAAAAAAAACTTCTATTGCCTTCCAAGTTGGGTCTTTTTTAACCTACTTTACTCCACTTTAATCAAGTCACTCATTGCTGTATATAATGATTATCTCTTTTCCTAAGTGCATATTTATTATCTAAGCTTGTAAGTCAGAGACACTTCTCACGCACAATGATATTATTTCATGTAACAGAGTATTTCTATACATAATTATATGAAATTCAAAGAGATTTAGGGTAGCATTATGATTTTAGTAATGCAGAGGAACGTTGCAATGACAGGCAATGAAAGGCAGTTGGTACGGAGAATTGCAAAGGTCTATATTGAATTTTTCCCAGGCAACACTCAACAAAACAGAGAATAAGACAACTTACTCGGTGACCTTTCAGGCCTGGGAGACCAGGAGCACCAGGGAAGCCTCTCGCACCCTGAGGGGAAGGTACATAGGCATGTTGTGGTTAAGTAGAAATGACCTAATATGCCCCACCACCACCACCACAAGACAACTGGCACATCATTCACACCAACATACTAATAAGAACATGACTGTATCTATAGAAATGTTGCCAGGGAGATCAAAACTACAAAGGCAAGCACACCGATAGAAGCAGAAGCACAACACACGAAGGTGTGTATTAAAGAGCTAACTGCTCTTCTGGTGATACTTCACTGTCTTCTGTCAAGGAATAGGTAAAAAGGAACTAAAACTATTCGTGGACCAATATGTGCAGTGTGTAAACTGACTAGGTACAGGCATCAGGAAGAAACTCCGAAGGGGGCATTTTCATGTCCATTGAGTTTCATCTGAGGCGGAAGAGAAGATGCCCTCGGGAGCAGCAAGAGAAGGGTCTCCATTATTTTTATTGTTGTCTGAACATTGGCAATGGGATGAATAGCATAAAATGATCCTGATTTTAAATAGTAAGTGTTCGAGACAAGCTTTGCAGAAGTGATGACTGCTTAAAAAGTAAATAAGGCAGTAAAAATATCCAACAGAAAAGTTAGGAAATGTGAGGGTGCCATTGTGTCCTGACTCAAATTTTCTGTTTTTGCTAATTCTATATGTATCTTCCATGCAAGCACATTAAATCAAAAGAATAGAAACAAAACCACAAACCAAACCTAACTATATAACTATTTTGAAACAATATTTAAGGTTTTTCCATATACTTTTTAAAAAATAATAAGGACTCAGTCACTAAAACATGCGAGCATTCCTTTTGCTGCATGGATTTGGTTTTGCATTGAATTCCCATTACCATTGCCATCAGACGGTTACATACCCTTATAGCACAGATTGGTGCTATCAAACCACTGTCAAATTTCAACTGCATTTATTAATCATCAAATTCCTAGCACTCAGCCTATGCTTGGTTGGTGAGCAATCAATAAATAATCATTAGGTTGACAACTGACCATAGAAAAGCTTTGATGACTCAGAACCTCAATGCTTTCACCCACCTTTTCAAAGAAACTTCTCCTGTGAGCACTTACAAAAATCCTTCTACTTCACACAACATAGCATTCATTCACTATTTATAGAATGAATGAATAAGCTACACAATTAAAAATCAGATGAAGAATTTCAGACCTATCTATCTTATGAACATTGACACAAAAATACTCAATAAAATACTCGCAAACCGAATCCAAGAACATGTAAAAGATATCATCCACCATGATCGAGAAGGTTTCATCCCAGGCATTCAGGGGATGATTCAATATACGGAAATCCATCAATGTTATCCACCACATAAACAAACAGAAGGGAAAAAACAAAACAAAACACATGATCATCTCCTTAGATACCAAAGAAGCATTTGACAAAAATGCAACATCCATTCATGTTTAAAGTTTTAGAGAGATCAGGGATAAAAGGCACATACCTAAACATGCTAAAGACAATATACAACAAGCCTATAGTCAACAACAAATTAAATAAAGAGAAACTTAAATCAATCCCACTGAAATCAGGGACAAGGCAAGGATGCCCACTCTCTCTGTATCTCTTCACACTTTAAGTCCTAGCTAGAGCAATAAGACAGCTAAAGTAGATCAAGAGAATACACACTGGAAAGGAAGAAGTCAAAGTATCACTATTTGAAGTATACTTGAGTGACCCCAAAAATTCTACATGAGAACTCCTTCAGGTGATAACACATTCAGCAAAGTGGCTGGATACACAATTAATTAAAAAAAAAAAAAGGTAGCCCTCCTGTATACCAAAGACAAAAGGTCCAAGAAAGAAATTAAGGGAACAACACCCTTTGCAATAGCCAAAAAAAACATATAGTACTTTGGTGTGACTCTAACCAAGCATGTGAAAGACCTGTTTGAGAAAAACTTCAAGTCTCTGAAGAAAGAAATTGAAGAAGATAGCAGAAGATGGAAAGATCTCCCATGCTCATGGATTGGTAGGATTAACATAGTGAAAATGGCCATCTACCAAAAGCATTCTACAGATTCAACTCAATTCCCATCAAAAGACCAACACAATTCTTTACAGACCTTGAAAGAATAATTCTCACTTCCTAGGGGAAACCAAAAAACCCAGAATTGCTAAAACAATCCTGTACAATAACAGATCTTCTGGAGGTATTTCCATCCCTGATCTCAAGCTTTACTATAGAGCAACAGTAATAAAAACTTCATGGTACTGGCATAGAAACAGAATGGTGGATTAATGGAATCGTAAGACCCAGAAATAGAGCCATACACCTACGTATACTTGATTTTTGATTTTTGAAAAAGCCAAAACAACACAATGGGGAAAAAGAAACCATATTCAACAAATGGTGCTGGTCTAATTGAATGTCTACATGTAGAAAAATGCAAATAGATCCATACTCATAATCCTGAACAAAACTAAAGTCCAAGTAGATCAAAGACCTCAACATAAAACCAGACACATTAAATCGGTTAGAAGAAAAAGTGGGGAAGAGCCTTGAACTCATTGGCACAGGAGACAACTTCCTGAACAGAACACCAACAGCACAGCCTCTAAGAGCAACAATCAATAAATGGGACCTCATGAAACTGAAAAGCTTCTGTAAAGCAAAGGACACTGTCATCAAAACAAAACGACTGCCTACAGGTTGGGAAAGGATCTTCACCAACCCTTTATCTGACAGAAAGCTAATATCCAGAATATATAAAGAACTCAAGAAGTTAAACACCAACAAATCAAATAATCCAATTAAAAAATGGGGTACAGAGCTAAACAGAGAATTCTTGATAGAGGAATATTGAATGGCAGAGAAACACTTAAAGAAATGTTCAATGTCCTTAGTCATCAGAGAAATGTGAATCAAAAAAACCCTGAGATTTCACCTTACACCCATCAGAATGGCTAAGATCAAAAACTCAAGTGACAACACATGCTGGAGAGGATGTGGAAAAAGGGGAACCCTCCTCCATTGCTGGTGGGAATGTAAACTTGTACAACCACTTTGGAAATCAATCTGGCACTTTGTTAGAAAACTGGAAATAGTGCTACCTCAAGATGTAGCTATACCACTCCTAGGCATATATCCAAAATATGTTCAAGTATACAACAAGGACATTTGCTCAACCATGTTCATAATAACCAGAAGCTGGAAACAACCTAGATGTCCCTCAGTTGAGGAATGGATACAGAAATTGTGTTACATTTACACAATGGAATACTACTCAGCTATTAAAAACAATGAAATCTCAGCATATGCTTCTATACCCTGCTGGGTTGAGTATTTCAGAGACCCTCTGTGGTAGGCTCCTGTCCCATTCCCTGTTTTCTCCCTCCTCCTCTCATTTGCCTTTCTGAATGAAGATTGAGCATCTTACCCAGGGTCCTCCTTCTTGTGTACAGATTTTAGTATGATTTATATTATATTATATTATATTATATTATATTATATTATATTATATTATATTATATTATATTATACTATACTATACTATACTATATATTACTATATTATATGTCTAATATCCACTTATAAGTGAGTATATACCATGTGTGTCTCTCTGCTTCTAGGATACCGCACTCAGGATGATCTTTTCTAGATCCCACCATTTACTTGCAAATTTCATGATTTTGGCAGAGTGCAGGAAATCTTATGAAAGAAGCAGGAGAGAGAAAGACCTGGAGGGAACAGGAGCTCCACAAGGGGAGCAACAGAACCAAAAAATCTGGGCATAGGGGTCTTTTTTGAGACTGATACTCCAACCAAGGACCATGGAGATAACTTAGAACAGAAGTAGCCCAAGGCAGCTCAGTGTCCAAGAGGGTTTCCCAATAATAGGAACAGGGACCATCTCTGACATGAACTCAGTGGCCTGCTCTTTGATCACCTCCACCTGAGGGGGGAACAGCCTTACCAGTCCACAGAGGAAGACAAAGAAGCCAGTCCTGATGAGACCTAACAGAGTATGATCAGATGGAAGGGGAGGAGGACCTCCCCATCATTGGACTGGGGGAGGGGCATAGGAGAAGAAGAGAGAGAGAGGGTCGGATTCAAAGGGAATGGGGGAGGGGGCTACAGCTGCGATACAAAGTGAATAAACTGTAACTAAAAAAAAATAAAATAAAATAAAACAAGGAAATCATGAACTTTGCAGGGAAATGGTGGGAACTAAGGAAGATCATCTTGAGTGAGGTAACCCAGAAACAGAAAGACACACATGATATATACTCATTCATAGGTGGATATTAGCCATATAATATAGAATAAACGTACTAAAATCTATACTCCTAAAGAAGCTAAACAACAAGGAAGACTCTAGGAAAGATGCTCAATCCTCAATCAGAAAGGCAAACGGGATGGATATCAGAAGAGGGAGAAAACAGGGAACAGGACAGGAGCCTACCACAGTCGGCCTCTGACTCTACTGATTGATATTTCAAAGCAGAGGCTGAGACTCATAGCCAAACTTTGGGCAGAGTGCAGGGAATGTTATGAAAGAAGAGAGAGATAGAAAGACTTGGAGGGAATAGGACTCCAAAAGGAGACCAACAGAGACATCGCTGGGGGCCCTGCCAAGACTGATAAAACAACCAAGGACAATGCATGGAGAGGACCTAAAATCCTGGCTCAGATGTAGCCCATAGACTCAGTCTCCAAGTGGATTCCCTAATAAGGAGAGCAGAGGCTTTCTCTGGAATTAATTCAATGACAGGCTCTCTGATTACCTTCCCCTGGGGGTGCAGCCTTGCCAGGCCACAGAGAAAGACAATGCAACCAGTCCTGATGAGACCTGATAGGAGAGGGTCAAATAGAAGGTGAGGAGGACCTCAGTTATCAGTGGACTAGGGGAGAGTCCTAGGGGGAGAAAAGAGAGGGGGGCCACAGAAGGAATACAAATTGAATAAATTCTAATAAATGATAATAATATTTTTTTAAATCAGATGATATGATAAGAGCAATATTTTTGTAACTTCTTGCAAGGGAAATATTTTTTTAGTGTCTTGAGAGTAGTAGACTAAAGATGTACTAATTCTCTCTGAAGAGATGAGATGCCACTGTGTTGTTTTTTTTGTTGTTATTGTTGTTGTTTGCTTGCTTGCTTGATTTCCTGGCACCCTCTCTTTTACTGAGATATATCTCCCTTCATCCTGAACAAGCAACTCAGTGTACACTCATCCAAGTCTATTAGGAAATAACTGAGCTGTTATTTCAAATAATTTGTTAACTTCAGCTTTTATGGTTGTGGGGAAAATTCCCGTGTGATTACGTGTAAGAAGGAAATGAAGTACATGTACTAACACTCATAAAGAATGCTCATTCTGCTGACCCAGGGCTGTCATCACAGCACAAGCGCTTGCTGTTGCAGTGAGCTTGCAGAGTGCATCTGTGCTGTGCTGGCAGAGTTCCTGTCCTCCCCATGGAGATACACTCCATGAACACATGCAGGAGTCAAAAGGTCACAGCAGTTTCCAGCCTGAACTGGGTGGAAAAGGACATCTGTCCTCGTAGCTACACCTCATGCCTTTGTCTGCATTTATACCCCGGCTGATAGGGTAGCAAAGGAAAGAGAAAAGGAAGCTTGGGTGTTGGTTTCACAATTAAAACTGTGTTATCCTTACAGCTCTATAAATCCCAGTTAAAGATCAACATTCCTATGTTAAAAACACAAAAACCAGCAATGAATCTTACCAGTTTTCAGAAACTGAACAGGGGGCCTTGCAGTATTGGTGGTTGGAGTAAGTATAGCAACATTAGCGAATTATAAGGACTAAAGTGAACGGGGCTAGATTAAACTAAGGGCTGTTCGGTTCAAGAACCCACATGCATCGGTACGATTGAGAAGAATTTTTGCTTTCTCGGTTTCTCATTTTCTCCATTCTACTCTTTCACACCCTAAAAGAAGCTAAAGGAAGCAACATTAGGGTCAAACAGGCAGGTTTTTGGGATGTTTAAGGCTCTAGGTCTTGAATTCTGTTAGAGTGAGTTCACACATATATGTTCCCTGAGTGAGTTAAAGGGGAGATAAAACAGTTGTGTTAGGCATCTTGGCAATGAGTGCATCTCGTCCGAAGATTTTAGGGCCCAGGATACTAATAAAGGATTTCAGACAACAATAGAACTTGGGGAGCAGCCAAAGGAAAATCCTGTCGACAGTTTAGTCCCCAGCTGATGAAGAACACATTCACAAAGCACCAGATTTAAGCTATTATTTCAGACAGATGGGTTGCTATACAATAAAAATATTTAGAGATCACCAAAACTCAGGTGTCATAAATTGTAACTAGGTCACATTGGTGACTTCTTAAAATACTTCATAATTATGGAAATTTTTAGTTTGGGAGTATTCATGTGTATTATAGTTATGATACAACTGTTTGGCTCTAGGGTTTTTATGTGAAATTCTAGGAACTGGAATTCGCAGTAATGCAGGCGAAATGTCCTCCACAGTTTGCATTTTGAGAGAAGGGGCTATTGTGTGGGTGTCTGCATTTACCCTGTGTCTGATACATGCATATGATGTCAGGTTCCACTCTATTTTACCTTTGTGCCATTACACTGAAAACCATTAACTTACCGGTGATCCTGAAAACCCCACTTCACCAGTGTTCCCATTTCTTCCAGGTTCACCCTGAACAGAAAAAAGGAAGTGAGAGGTACGGAGAGGTGTGTCATGACATCGCATGACAGATTACAGATGAAAAGCCTGTAGCACGTTTTTCGTTGTGCTGCAAACAGTGTAAAACAGAACCCAGGCTCCATTTCTGGTAATATTTAATTCTAAGGTGAACAAACGGGCACAGAGTAACCTGCTCTGATTTTGCCATTTTCAGAACACCGGACTTTACATGCAGAGGGCTGGACACTGCTCAGGGTTGACACCCTATCGTGTACAACACAGCAAGTTTGATCCCAGCACAGCAAAAAGTAAAATAAAATAAACATGTGTTATATGTTCAGATTGGATCATCTTTCCAGCCTTAGAAAAAAAACAAAAATTTGTTTGTTTTCAAAGATTAATATTAATAAAAGTTCTGGAGAAGTCAATAGAGTATCTAATAATTTAACACTCTCATAATAAAGAATACTTTCCGATTTTGGAAAACTTTAACCTGTGTTCTCCAGTTTACAGTGGATTTAATGGGAGGTGAAGTGGTAAGGTAATGAAATGGGAGTCAGAGCAGGATACTCCTGTGACCCTTGGAATGCATTGTTAGACAATAGAAACTTACATCTTCTCCAGGCTTCCCAGGCGGTCCCTCCGGCCCACGAGCGCCAATTGGACCCTAAAAAAAAAAAAAAAAGCGAAGAGGGATACTCACCTCTTCCTCCCAACAATAGCCAAGTACTAGTGAGACAATGAAAAAATATCAGATGGCATTACTAATGTGTTGAATGTTTATGTTTGTGTTAGCTCTGGTGCTCAACAGTAGAAACGTTGAATTGCACAGATCTATGTGTCCATACTTCCCACAACATTCAGACTCTGAGTTAAAAATACTGTGATTTAGGAACAGAATTTAAGCATAATCCACAGCAAGGGGCCATCCAGGATTATCATTACTTGATAAATTATTGAGGTCTAGGAAAACAAATATCTCACAACAAACGGGCTGATATGCTTACTCCACATTTACCATTGGTCCAGGCTCGCCAGGCTCACCAGGAGGTCCTGCTGGCCCCACACCACCCTAAAATTGAGAAAAAATAATAAGTGAAGAAAAGGAAAACAGTATACCAATTTCTGGACTCTTGACAATGCACAGTGTGGAAACTAAGCTCTGCCAATTTTTAGATATATAATTTCAGCCATAATACTGACTCTGAATATAATGTAATTTCCTTATCTGAAAATTTAGACTAAGATTCAGACTTAGTTCACTGGCCTGTTTGGATAATGTCTGTTAGAACAGAACAGTGCTAGCACAGAATGGGCGTTAATCATCATCACCTTCCTCACCATTATCAATTACCTTTCTGTTCAACAATGTAATGAAGTAAAATCCATACAGATAATTATGACTATGTCATTGCCTTGACACTTCTTTTGAAGTATCATTACAAAGAGTAAAATAGTTCTAAATCATAGTTTTACTGGCATTTGATAGATGTAGAAAGAAACCATATTGAGTTAGAGTCTTCTTGAAAGATTCCACAGACTAATCACCTTGATTTTGAAGTATGTCATTGCCTTGATACTTCTTTTGAAGTATCATTACAAAGAACAAAATAGTTCTAAATCATAGCTTTACTGGTATTTGATAGATGTAGAAAGAAACCATATTGAGTTAGAGTCTTCTTGAAAGATTCCACAGACTAATCACCTTGGCTTTAATTTATAATATAATAATAATTGCAAATGCCTTTTTATTATCTGATTGTAAATCCAGAGACTTGAAAATAATTAGTTATGGGAATTTCATCATGACATGGGCTAATGCTCCATTATTTTAGAACTAAGGACTCACAACCTCTAGTATTAGTCAGTCACATTAAAAAAATCAAATGATACTGAGCTACCAAGGGCTACATCTGAGCAGGCTATATCCATACATGGTCCTTGTTTGGAGAAACAGTCTCATAAAAGACCCCTGTGCTCAGATATATTTGTTCCTTGTGGAACTCCTGTCCTCTCCAGGTCATATTAACTCCCCCCCCTTTTTTTTATTCCCTGCACTCTGCCAAAGGTTTGGTAATGAGTCTTAATATCTGCTTTGATACACTGCTGGGTAGAGTATTTTGACCTTCTCCCCACCCCGGGAAGGAGCAGCCCTGATAGGCCACAGAGGAGGACTTTGCAGCCAGTCCTGAAGACACCTGATAAACCAGTATCAGATGGAAGGGGAGGAGGTTCTCCCCTATCAGTGGACTTGGAAAGGGGCAGGGAGGAGATGAAGGTGGGAGGGTGGGTTTGGGAGGGAAAGAAGAAGTGGGATACAGCTGGGATACAAAGTTAACAAACTGTAACTAATATTAAAAAAATTAAAAAAAAATCAAATGATAAAAATGTATTAAGAAATTGTGATGGCTAGGGGACATCTCAGTAGATTAAGCATTTGCCATGCAGGCATGAGGAGGATCAGCTCCCATGTAAAAGATAAGTGGATACGGTAGCCAGCCTGTATCCCCAGTACTTGGTGGACAGAGATGGGGACAGAGCAACTCTGGGAGCACACCAGCCAGCTGACTGGTGAAACTGGTGAGCTATCAGTTCAGCAGGAAACCTTGCCTTAAGAAATAAAGAACACACACACACACACAGAGAGAGAGAGAGAGAGAGAGAGAGAGTTATAAACAATTTTTTTTGAAAAAGAATGCTGTGTATGTCCCTACGTCAGCGAGGATTTTGTGATAGATGCCATTCCAAGTGAGAGTTCTGCAGTTTAATGTTCTGCCCAAAGTAGTCATGAAACATGAACCTTATTTGTGCTCTTTCCTTATGTTACAGTATATAAGTTAATTATAAAAACACTTACTTGTTTTCCTTGTAAACCTTGAGGTCCCCTTGGACCAACAGGACCCTTAAAAACAAGTGAAAAGAAGTTATATCATACTCTGTTGTGTCATGTTTATTTTTACTTTTTAAGATTTACTTACTTTATGTGTACGAGTGTTTTGCTCATGGGTATGCCTGTGTACCACATATGTGCCTGATGTTCTTGGAGGTCATAAGAGGATACTGTACCCTCTGGAACTGGAGGTATGGAGAGTGGTGAGCCACCATAAGGGTGAGAATCAAATCTGGGACCTCCGCAAGAACTGGTGCTCTTCACAGCTGAGCCACCTCTTCAGCCCCCCAACTAAGTGGCGATTGACCAGAGGCCCTAATGACATGCTCCATCTTTACTCTGGCAGGCGGAAGGACTCAGAGAGATTAAATTTAAGTGATGTGTGTGATGATTTCATTGTGTATCCTTTGTGCCATAAAGAGAGATAACTATGCCCATGCACACCCAGCGTCTTTAGGACGAGGGCCCATACATGTGCAAATGGGTGGTTCTGATAAAACATCTGAGGAAGGGAAAATCTTGGCAGGCACGTTGTCCTCACAGACAGCCTGTTTGATGCTTCAGCACCAGAATGGCTAACTTAAATAGCAAGCGAAGTTAACAGTTTGTGAAACCAACAGTATTTATTACGTTATTTTCAATGTCAGTTTAAAATTATCTGGGCACCGAGTTTTCTGAAACATTTCTCTCTTTCAGAACATATATTGAAACTATAAACACAGTTCTTCTTATCTGAATATGAAATGATTTCCTGAAGCACAACAAAATAGATGTGGAAGAAAATTCAGATTTCAGGGAATTTTAATTCCATACAAGGACAACAAAATTTAAACGTCAAATCCTGTAAAGTAAAATCAGTTTAACTAAAATCAAACTCAAACAAGTTTGCTCAGTTATTTTTAGTTCTTTACTACCTACTAAGGAGAAAAAGCTCCTTTAAAAATGTGAAAGTAGAAGGGTGGTTACTTGGGAAAAGAAAGGACATTAATAGGAAAGGACAAGAGAAGAAAATTAAGAATGAGTATGACCAAATTGTGTACATGGATAAAGATGACATAGTGAAACCTGTTGATTTGTACAATTACTACATACTAATAAAACATCATATTTAAATTTATAAACTTTAAAAATAAATATATTTTGATAAGATACAAGTATAAATATAAGCATAATTTAAACTGTAAATATATAAAGCATATCTCAGAAACCGATCACAAAACAGTCAGTGAACAGTACCACTAGTAATTTAGAAAATAAATACCAGGCTTGAGAAATCCTAAAGCTGGCCTGTGGATGGCTAGAGCAGTGAGTATCCAGGAGGTGTGACTGCCTGAAATCTCATTAACATGGACAATTTTTTGGAATTATTATGATCAAAAGGCATGGGAGAATTGGTTTGAAGAGTCTGGAATTCTTCAAATGGCCAACTTAAGAATTAACCCAGGGAGATCGAAAATTCAAGAAGCAAGAGACACAAGAGGACGAGCCTGGGAAGCAGAGCTGTTGGAATGAAGCAGCCAAAGCAAGTCAGGTCAGTGGGAACTCACATAAATGGAAAAGAACACATATCTATTTGAAGTTTCTGCCGTCAGTGTTTCTAATCGGCACAGTGAAACATAATAAATACACTTTTTATTATGAAAGAACAGCCGTGCTTTGATAGTGGTCGTTATGGCTTGTACTTCCCCAAGCAGTAAATGAAATATGCAGACAGCTGTTTACTGATGTTCACAAATGCTTTGTGTGAGTATGAATGGTACATTACTGGACTATTAAACTGCACACTGCAGGACTTACTAAATGAACTAAGTGCATTGATAGGTGGGCTTTAAAATATTTTAATTTTCTTTCTGTTTATAAAGTGTGCGCATGTCTGCATATGTATGTGGGCATGATTGTGTGAGCCTGTGTATGTATGTATGTATACATGTGTGTATATGTTTACAAGTGTGTGTGTCTATCTGTGTGTTAGTGTTTGTGTATGTGTGTTTCACTGTGTGACTGTGTGTATGTGTTTCTCTGTGTGTGTGCGCGCGCTTGTGTGTGTGTGTGTGTGTGTGTGTGTGTGTGTGTGTGTACAGACCATGTTGCGCATGTGGAATTCAGAAGAGTGTATGCTCTCTTACCATATGTTTCTTGGGGGTTGATCTCAAATTATCAGTCTTGGCAGCAAGTACCTTAACTGGCTGAGTCACCTCACTGGCTTAAGATGTTAGTTCTTAACTAGCTACATTAAGCCTCTCTGTTTGTAAGTATCTTTCAACCAACAATTCATCAGTAAATTGTCTGCTTACCACAGAGCCAGGCATGAGTCCTACTTGACTCCCAAGTCCAGATTTTTCATCCAACCCAGCCATCTGAGCTGAAAAGGGCTGTAAAATAAAGTGTTGATATTGTTTCCACTGTAAAAGATATGCACCAACGGACTTTTAACAGTGAGAAATGTGCACACTCTGACATTCTCGTGCAAGGCTCTCCTAAGAGCCATTTTTAACACTTGAGTTTAACACATAAGGAAAAATTAAGCTGCTTTTCATTGTGTGTGCTTTTGATGGGCCATTATTCCCCCCCAAGCATTTTGTAAGTATGCTGTTTCAGAAAAACTGATGCAATGGGGGACATGTCTGAAACCAGACAAAAGTACAGATCATCCTGACAGATTCCCGGTCACCAGCTGTGGATTCTGATGTCTTCGTCTGGCTTCCTCCCACCCCTGGAACATGCTGATAACAGAACAAAGCTCAAATAATGCATTTTAAGTATTTATCTTAAAGACACCAGATTCCATTTTAAACTATTTTAAGTAAATGGTGCTTACTATTCACTTATGGAAAGTAGCCTAAAAATTGCTTTTATGTGAGTTTACAAAAATGTGATAATCCTTTCAATAAATTTCTGATTAATCCAAGAATTGAGAACAGTTTTACCTATCCTCTGTGACCTTTAAAATGTTCTGTCAATTAAATGACCAAAATTGTTCATATATATGCCAGCGGTTTTATTGCTTTCCAGATTATAGTGGAGAAATGTCTGTATTGTTCAAAAAATAAACTGACAATTCATTCTGCAATTAGTTGGGAAACAAATGCATGAACGGTTGTAAAAATAATAGTCTTAAGGTTACTTATATTATATAATATATTCCTAAGTGCCATATGCAGCCGTCAAGAATTCAACAGGTTAGACAGAATGAAGCATTTTGTTTGATTAAAGTGGGACATTAAAATTTCAGAAACCTTTTTAATAATCAAATAATTTTTAATACTTTTTTAATTTTATGGCTTGGCTATGGCTTCCCCAACACACCCAAAAGACTTGGGTTAAAATCTTCATCACCAGTGCAATGCTCACAGGTGCCTGTTTAATGAACTCATCCATGGATGGATCCATAAGTCAATAGCACTGTTCAGAGGTTTAGAAATGTTCAGAGATAAAGTCTAGTTGGATAACATTAGGCACTGAGTGCATGATCTTCGGAGTCATGTCTCCCAGAAAATGGAGGCTTCATTTATCACTTTGTTTCTTTGGTTGGTTGGTTTTGGTTTTGGTTTTGGTTTTTTGGAGCCTGGGAAACAGCAGAACAGAAATGTATATTCTTCAGTTCATTGTTGTGTGCACAGTGCAGTGGTCAACAGAGAAAACAAAGGTTTTGGGATAAAACAAATACCTTTATGTAAGCCTTTAGAAAAGAATACTTTGTGTTTTTCCAACAACCCATTGTGGATTTGTGAGTTTCAGTGTTGTTCATAGTGGGTCTGAAATCACTCCACAGGTTTTGGAGTAAGACATCAACCTCTGAACTGACACCGTAAGAATGGATTTATGATTTATGTATAACCTAATTGGTATGTTGACCAAAGTGTAAAACTCACCCTGCTCATGCCATCAGGTCCTGGGTGAGAGGGATGCCCAGGAGGCCCTGGGGCACCTGGCTGACCAGGAACACCTGGCTCTCCGTCAATTCCCTGAGGACCACGAGGACCCTAGGAAAGAAACCAGTAGGCATTAGAACCACTTTCTAAGGTGTACTTAGCAGAAAGCTAAAAGCACAGACTTCAGGATAGCAATCACGATAATTACAAAAGACAACCTAAACACTGTCATTTCCAACACTGGCCAGAGTTTCTGCCATGGAGACACAGTCTTGCTAAGAATTTTACTTGATATGTTAAATCTTAAAATAATTAGAAAATCATTTCACTCCAGCAGTATTTTAAAATGATCTTTATTGGTGAGATTTTGATGCTTAAGTGTATTTAAATAATAGTTTCTAAAATCACTTGTCTGTCTTGTATTACAGTTAACTATGAATGTGCTTGCTTTAACCTGTTTCTACCTCATCTTCTCCCCCAAATGCAAAGACTCTTGGAAGAGTTTGTGGGTCTAGTTCATCTTACAAAGTACATGAGGCTTGCAGAATTTCTGGTGTATAGTTGACATTAAATACTGTGAATAACATTTGCACATTTCACTCTTTTACTTTAAGTCTGGCTCACTTTATTTTCTTTCCCACCCAAGTGGTCAACCAGACCAATGAGACATCAGAGGCAAGTCAGTGTGATGGAACCAAGCCTAGTTCTCAGAGAAGGGAGCAATGACTCGCTGCCAGGCTCCACCCTTCTCATAACCCACATTCTGAGGGCAGCTTGGGGAAGAGCCACGTCCTTAGGTCTGGAGAAGCTCACTCTCCCCAGCATTATCAGGAGTGTGTGTGTGTGTGTGTGTGTGTGTGTGTGTGTGTGTGCGCGCACACACACACACGCGCGTTTGTCTTAAGTCCTAATAAGCTCTGATAGAAAAAAGAGAGAAACAAAGAAATCACAAGCTAATTTCATTTTTCTCACTAACCATGGGGACTAGTAAAGGCAAAAGAAGCTCTAATTCTCAGTCAAGAGAGTATCTCTAGCTGTCAGTTAGAGGCCATAGTCAGTAATTCCAATATCGACCAAATGCAGACAAGAAGGCTAGGACAAGTCGAAGAAGTTGATTAATCATAATTTGCTATATTTAAACATCCTTCAGTAGTGGGCCAAAAACCCAACATTTATGTCTTTGAATTAAGGTAGAACCTAGAAAATTCAAAACATGATTTCATGAAAAACATTCTTAAATTTTATAAATAAACTCCCTTCTTGCCCCTAAACCACTGACAACTCACTATGATCTTTCTGTATGCAGAGCAGACATGTTCCAGTTCTCAGGCTCCTGTGTCACATGATGTGACAGCATCTTCTATGCCAGAGCACACAAGCAGGATTTGACCTTATTCCTAGTTCTTTATTCCCCCCAAATTAAACTGCTAAATGATAACTATTATTATATAAAAAAGGTAACAGAAAACTGTTTACTCCCCAAAAAAATTCCAAAATAAATAGAAAACTATATTTGCCATGTGAATAGAAGAGATCTGGTTAATAGTAAGTCTCTAAATTTAAGAGTGATCAGACACCAAGCAAGGTCCGCTCTGAAGAGAGCTGACATTTTCATTAACTTCTGGTCTCTTTTATATTTTCCTGGAATTACTTTTGTGTTAATCTAACATAATTTGAAATTTAAATTAATAAACATTGATTAAAACATTTTAAAACAAACTGAATGTAAACAATTTAATGAAAATAAGAAAAACATAATTAGACATGTTACTGATAAAAAATAAGTTATAATTGGAAATCCATTACAATGCATTTTATATTTCCAATTAAACTTAATAGTATAGTTTTTGTGTTAAGGTAAGTAAATGGTCTGTGTGTCTTTTCTCCTCTGCCAGAATACTCCGGGGCAGCACTTTGCATAAAGGCACTTGCGAATGGCCACTAGGTGGCGAACTTTAAACGCCCACTTGAAGAAAATAGCTGCATGCTCCTCCAGAACTTTTAATCTGCAGCGGGTTAGCAATGGGATGCACAAAATGCACACACACATAAGCATGCACACAGGTACATTATGGGATATTACAGCTTCAATGTCTGGTGCATGTTTCAGGGTACAGATGATGCCTCTAAGTGTCATGTGCAATTGAGCTCAACATACCACAGAGTGTCCATCTCCAGGTAAGTGGCTAGTTTGTCACTATGAAGTGATCTGAGTAACACACTCTAAATCGAGGACGCTGAGTAGGAAGTAACCTGGGTAATACACTCTGAACTGGTGACCTCTAATGAGAGAATCATGGTGGTCACTGACTTCTTGAGTTGTTTCCATCAGTACTTCTAAACGCAGCACTATTTTGCCTGGATTTGGTAGCATCAAGGTGTTTTTATTTGCAACAATTCAAAAGGGGATATGCATCTGGTAGGTAGAGTGTACAACAGTCTCACAATATAAGGAGTTATCTGGTCTATAACCTTAATGATGCTGAGGTTGAGAAACCCTACTGCCTGATGGAAATGTTCTGTATTGTTTGCTAGTGATGAAAATTGGAAATGGAAACTGGTACCTAGGATTTTAATACCACTTCTTATTGTAACAGTAAAGATCTTAATCCAGTAAACATCACCAAGAAGTGCTGTGTCCTCAATGGAAATCTTCTACCTATGTGTCTTCTGTACTATGCTTGAATTTTGAAATTAGTGATATTTATACCAGGGCAGTCAGCAGAAGTTACAAATCAAAGGAAAGAAACAGAGTGATGGTTATTAACATGTCATCACGTATCCCACCCTGCTAGGATTCACAGAGGAATGCATTTCATACTAAGAAGAGGGGGACTGTAGGAGCCAGCGGGGCAGAGGACACGATGAAAACACGGCACACAGAGTCAACTAAGCAGGCCTCACAGCTCACAGAGACTGCGTGAGTCTGCAATGGGCCCTTTGCATCCATGTGGCAGTTGTTTTACTTTGGGATTTTGTTGGACTCCTAACAAGGACACTTTTGCCTGATTGTGGGGCCTTTTCCTCTTACGAGGCTGCATCACCCAGCCGTGGTAGAGGGTTTGTCCCTACTCTTAATGCATCTTGCTATGTTGATACCACTGACAGGCCATCTCTTTTCTGAAGGGAAACAGAGAAGGAATGGATCGTGGAAAAAGGGGAGGTGGTAAGCTCAGAAGAGGAGAAGAGGTGGCGGTCAAAATGTATTGTATGAGAGAAGAATAAGTTTAAAAAAGAAAAGTCTGCTGGGGTTACCTTCTGCTTTCATAAATAACTACTCTCCATTCTTTTTATGCCCAAACACAGAATTATATCTGACCCAAAATCTCTACCTTGGAGAGAGGAAACAGCTACCTCATTATAAGAGAGAGAGAGAGAGAGAATGGGAATTAGATTCATTGTCTCTTAATCAGGAATTCTGAACTGCGATCATTATTTCCATAGCAACTTCCGTGGAAACATTGGACAGTGCCATCAGCTACATATTATGCACAAATACATTGGCAAAATAGCTTTTATGTGTAACCACCCAGGCTCTACCCCACAGATTCACCTTGTGCCTGCCATTTTCCTTCTGTACTGACACCCGGGGAACTAAAAGCATTTGAACTAGGCATATGATGAAGTCGCTGACGAGGGTGGCCGTGAAGGGTGCAGGAGTGCATCTCTCGCCCTGACGTGGCCCCATACCCTTAGGGCACTCTCCCTCACCAGTGGGCCTCCGTCCCTGTGACACCCCCGTAGTACAAGTATCGCCTTCACATTCTCTACTTGACGAAATATGAGATGCTTTGAAAGGAAACTAACGGCAAATGTTCACATACAAGCCTGTCTTAAAACATTCCATTCAAAAAAGTTGCGTATTGCCTCTTTGCTTATCTATTCCTTCCATTTACTTACTGACAAACACACACATATAGCCAAAATTCCATTGGGAACTAAATTTCAGTGTCTACAATTAGAGACAAAAATTAAATGACACAATTTTTGTTGGAATGTGGTATAATCACAACCACAAAAAATGTAATTCAGTTATCCAATATATGAAACAACTTAGATTTTATGGTGAGGTGTTAGAAATATACTTAAAAGAAGAGACTAATTTACGTTGCATGCAAGTAGATAATGAAAGGAGTCTACGGAGTGAATGGGTATATCTTGCTTTAGCTCAAGGTCATACAGGCTCTAGTTTGATCTTGTTTAGTTATACCTTACCCCCTTTGATAATAGTGTTAATTTTTAAAAATTCCTAAATCTCTTTAGCAGCTACACCATGGAAAGAAAAGACTTTTTCCTAGAAAATTAATTTTCTGTGTAACCACTTGAAAGAAAATTTTATTTAATAATGTCTTTTTCCTCTTTTCAGTTGGATATTTCCACAGCAACCAAAAAGCACAGAGTTCAGGTATTTTACCTTAACTGTACGCACATGGCATTATTCATTCAAGAACGATAACTTCTGAACTCAACATGATATATTAGCCATGTCTCTTTAGTCACCTTGATTTTAATTAGACCTTGTAAAGAACAAATGATTACAGTTGTGCTCTCTAGTAAACGATGGGCAATAATTTTCATGCAATAATTTTCTTGAAATTGGAAAGCTGTATGATCATTTCATAATGGGAATTCTTTGTGGCATTTAATGGAAGTGACAGCATGACAGTGCCTCTGGCACCCTCACTGCACTCAAAGGGAAAGAGCAAATTATCCCATTTGACACATATTGAGGGACGTACAGCGGCCAACTTACAGGTCTTCCTTTGGGGCCTCGGTCCCCTCTTGGTCCTTGTGATCCTGGAGGGCCCTAAAACATAAGTTATGATTATACATATAAACATTTACACATATTTTTAAGGATTCAATTGATAAAAGAACATTGAAACACAAACATCACATTTCCAATTTAAAGCAGTTAAAGGCTGGACAATAAAGTCTGTGCATATACATGTTAAATCTGAGCCCTGAGAGGCCTGCAGAGACTGATGCTACAGCTAAGGACCATACATAGAAAATACCTAGACCCCCTGCTCATATGTAGCCTATAGGCTTCTCAGTCTCCAAGTGGGTTTCCTAGTAAGGGGAACAGAATCTGTCTCTGACATGAACTCAGTGGCTGGCTCTTTGATCACCTCCCCCTGGGGGTTGCAGCCTTGCCAGGCCACAGTGGAAGACAATGCAGCCAGTCCTGATGAGACCTGATAAGCTAGAGTCAGATGGAGGGGGAGGAGGACCTTCCCTATCAGTGGACTAGGGGAGAGGCATAAGGAGAGAAGAGGGAGAAAGGGTGGAATTGTGAGGAGATGAGGGAGAGAACTATAGCTGGGATACAAAATGAATAAATTGTAATAAATAGTAAATTAAATTAAAAAAGAAATTTAAAAAAGTGAAGTTTGAAGATGTGTAAATAATTAGGTGCCAAGTAAAGCCACTTTGGGTTTAAACACATTAGTGTAGTTAGGAACTGCGAATTTTTAAGCACCATTTGCAGACTTCTCCCAATGTAAATCCTTGGCCATTGAGATCTAGGTACAAAAACTTAAGAGTTTTGGTGTGGAGACTTGCGTAAAAGTGCAAACCCTAAATTATCAATTATCTGATAGAATCTGTGGTTCACAGTATTCCAGATAATTCATCACTGGCCCACCTGCTCCTGTCAGCTTACTGCTGCTCATGTACATTCACATAGTTACTTAATGCATTCATTAGTTCTAGCGCACACACACACACACACACACAGATATAATTTCCCAAGTTACAAATGCTGTGGTTTCTGCCTTACCTACAAATATTTTTATTTCCAAATTGTTATTTGTTTCAACAAATAGCACTGTTTCTGTTGTTCTATTTAACTGTATTGAGATGATTTCCAGACTGACCCTGAAACTCCTTGGCCCAAAGGATCCTCTTGCCCCAACCTCCTGCAAGGCAGCGATGCTAGTATTGTATTTTGGGAGATCAGATGTGCTTTGAGATGTAAATGGTGTGTGGATGAGTGTATGTTATTCATCAGTTTCCTAAAATGCTGTTGGTAGTCCAAACTCAAGATAATTAGCCTTCATACAAAGCCAGAAGTCTGTCATGCTGGTACATAACTTCTGAAATCCTATTGCAATATTTTATTTAAGTAAATAAATTTCTCTTAATCAGTAAGCACACGAATATGCTCTTACTTCAAGAATAAGGTCAGTCTAGTGAACAATGTTAAACATAGCCTTTTTTGTTTTGTTTTTTTCTTTTCGGAGAGCAAAACTAATGTATAAGAATACAGTTTATCAACTCCAAGATGAAACTGTGTGGCATGTATTGCTCCAAAACAAAATGTCGAAATCTGAAGATAGTTGGAAACAAAACTTTTTGGGATGTCAAATATCCTTTTGTGCCCTGCTGTTTTCAATGTATGCCTTGTCGGTAAAAATGTCCTGTATTCACAGCGCACGCTGGAGGAAGGTACTTACTGCGGGCCCCGGACGACCACGTATGCCCGTTACCTAACCACCAAAGAAACAAAAAGGTAAAGTTACACAACGTAAAGGTAAAGTTTACACAACGAATAAAAATAAAAGCACAGTAGAATCTCCTTAAAAACGTAGATGCCCCAACGAGATGCACTCCTCCTGCCTTATGAGTTTGAGCGCCAACACAGGAAGATAGTGTTTGCGCAGAGACGGATACAGCCACGTAGAAGAGCGCGGCACTCATATCCTCCCCTTCACGGCAGCTGGGTGACCTTGACTGACCACGTCGTCTCTATTAAGCCTGACCAAGTGGAAGCTTAGGTGCAGACTCAAATGCAAAATGGTCTGTATGAAATAATCTCACTCATAGAGTTATGTAGATTAACAAACGTTAGTCAAATATTTTTAATCTAAGATATATCAAACATGAAAAGGGGAACTATAGCAAGTGTTTGCTTTTCAGGCAAACAGATAAATCAGATTTAAAGGTAAAGCAAAAATGTGCGTACTACTAAATAATTAACTGTGCAGTCTTTCAACAGATTGATGAAAACTGCTATAAAACTTATAGTTTGAATGATAGCAACTCCATGATATCTTGGTGTACCTTCTGGCTACCAACAATGATAAATATACCCTGAGAATTCTGTGTTAATGTGGAATTTCAATCAAGATCAAGGCATAACACACGCCTAAAAGTGTGGAACATCAAACCAAGAACATTAACATTAACTGGACGTAAAACCATGATTTTGTATTGTCAGTCATGTGACTATAAAATTTAATGTTATAAAATATATATTGTATCGAATAATACTATATTTTGTCTTGTTCACGTTATCTTAATTTTTTCATTATAAAATAACTTTCTTTTTGAGAAGAAGCAGTAATATACAAATAATATAGTTATGTTTCAAAATGTATAGACACATTTTCATATTCAGTCATATAGATATATAAGTAGACACATGTATATATAGAGAGAGCACATGTAACATGCAAACACACATATACTTACAATAGGCACTAACCCTGGTTCTCCTTTTTGTCCCTAGGAAAATTTAAAAAAAAAGACAATTAGAAAATATAAAGTGTTTTGAGTAATAACATGTCACATTATGCTATGGAGACACTGGGGATTTCTAAGAAATGTTAACAATGAGGACAAAATATTAAGGCATTTGGTCAGATATTATATGTGAGTAAAACTTCTACTCAGCCGATGTACATAAAGTAAATCTAGCATATGAAGTGGCAAAGCTTTGTTTTTCTTCATTTTTCATGCCTTCAATAGCAAAGAACTGAGTAGACTAAAAAGAGTCAAGGGGAAGAAATAAAAAGACAGAGCATCACTGAAATGTCTCCCCAAAGATCCAAATCCAGAAGGAAATGCAGAGGAGCATGTGAGTTCACATATTTACTGTGTGACAGGGTTTTCAGTAATATCAGAGTCCATTCTTGCCACCTGCTTCTGTTTCATAGAATTCATGGAAACACCAAGGGTAACAGACGGTAAATATAAGGTAAATATATGCATGCCTTATTGGACACAAAGTGCAATAGTTGTAGGAGTGTACTTCTTACTCTCTGAGGGGAAAGTTGGAAAACTAAACTGCATAGAGAGACTGCCAGTCAGTCTGTGTGTGTCAGTGTAGGCATGGCTAGGAAAGAAGCCATCAGTGGCATTTCATTTGAACAGTAGAACTACAGATTTTTGAAGTGCGCTTTTTTGTGATCTCAGTTTGAAGGTTAAACAATATTGGATAGTCTGTCATATCCGGATTTCCTCATACATTATTTAGCGTTATCTGTTTTCTTCCTATGATTTTGATCTCTTTGATGTCATCACTGTGTCTGCCTATTTTGCTTCTTCAGTTATCTTGAGCACATTAATATCAATGAACGTATTATAAAATGGCCTATGCTGATATGCAACTGGGGGGAAGAGTGTGACTTCCACACGCATACCCTAAGTGAGAGGGCTGCAGGAGGAATGTACTCTAGTTTACTTAATTTTTCCTCTCCCATATCAATTATTTCAGGTAAATATTATTTCATGTGATTATAAAATCAAATATGTGTATAGAAGGGAGTTAGGAGGAAATACACAGAAGAAATTATCTCACTCAGCACCCCAGAAATAGTCAGGTTTAACATTCTCACACATTCCCATTGTTTTAATGTACTCTAGTTTATCTAATCAAAGCTGCACTGCTATATTCCTAAACGGTCATATTTTTTAAAACTGTAATGAACATCTTTTAATATCAACGCATGGACGGCATTTACGATTGATATTAAAGTATGTTTCCAGGCACTTGGGAGAACGGTTTGAGTAGATAGTCTCAAAAAGAATGTTTCTTGTGAAAAAGAAACCACACAAAGTAAAACTCACCTTTCTTCCTCTACCTACAAAAAGAAAGAGAAAATAGGTAATTTTTTTTTTTTTTGGAGAACAATTATAAAAACATACTACATATATAGCTTCAATAGAACATTTCTTATGGGTGTAGATTTCTTTTTTTTAATTAAATTTTTATTTTTTTACATTAATTATATTTTCTTCTCTTTGTATCCCAGCTGTAACCCCCTCCCTCATTTCCTCCCAATCCCACCTTCCCTCTTTCATCTCCTCCCATGACCCTATCCAAGTCCACCTGATAGGGGAGGTCCTCTATATGACCATATGACCATATGTTTATCAGGTCTCTTCAGGATTGGCTGCAATGTCCTCCTCTGTGGCCTGGTGAGACTCCTCCTCCCTCAGGGGTGGTTCATTTCAGAGACAGTTCCTGTTCCCCTTGCTAGGGAACCCACTTGGAGACTGAGCTGCCATGGGCTACATCTGAGCAGGGGTTCTAGGTTATCTCCATTAATGGACCTTGGTTGAAGTATAATTCCCAGAAAAAACCCTATGCCCAGATACTTTGGTTCTGTTGCTCTCCTTGCAGAGCTCCTGTCCTTTCCAGGTGTTACTAAATCCCCCTTCTTTCATGATTCCCTGCACTCTGTCCAAAGTTCGGTTATGAGTCTTAGCATCTGCCTCGCTACACTGCTGGGTAGAGCCTTTCAGAGGCCCTCTGTGGTAGGTTCCTGTCCTGTTTCTTGTTTTCTCCTTCTTCCAATGTCCATCCCATTTGTCTTTCTAAGTTATAATTGATCATCTTACCCAGGGTCCTTCTTCTTGTTTAGCTTCTTTAGGTTTACAGATTTGAGTATGTTTATCCTATATTATAGGTCTAGTACCCACTTATAAGTGAGTTTATACCATGTATGTCTTTCTGCTTCTGGGAGACCTCACTCAGGATGATGATCTTTTCTAGTTTCCACCATTTGCCTGCAAATTTCATGATTTCCTTGTGGTGTAGATTTCAACAACAACAAGGTTCTCTCCTCACTAGGATGGCAGAGCTCAAAAAACTGTCTTGAATCAATTCTAACAAAGAAAACACTACATATATTTGGAATAGACTCACATGATCATAATTTTCTTCACAATATTCATAGAGATTCTAGTGTTAGCAAAACTATAACACTAGGCATTTATATCATGGACTGCATTTAATGAATATTCCTTTCTGCAATATTTTAAATGAGTGAGTAATTTAGTTCACATGCAAAATTTATTGTGTGGAACTCTGCAATGGAAATCTTCCTTGTATCCTGTCCTCTGTTCCCTGTTCCTGATCTCTGGGGAGACTTGACCCATCAAAAGCCTCTATTATTGGTTTTATGTATATTATTATAATCATTTTCATAACTGAGAAAACAGCAACAGGCACCTTATAATTTTTCAATATTTTCCATTTCTTGTCTACATATAATTATAGATACTTAAATCTTATAAATTGTTATATAAAAGTAGTTTTTCTATTTTATCTTCAAATCAGGATCCCATTTCATGAATCCAGTACAGTCTATTTAAAAGCATTACTTTCCCCACAATGAATTATTTGGTTTTGTCTTTTCTTATTACTAAAAACAGCTTATTACCCTACCAGGATATTTTGAAGAATGGAAACAAGAGCTATAGAGAAATTGGTGTAATTTGAGGTTTCAATGGACTAACCAGAAATCATGTTATTACAAATAATGCTAGGGTGAATAATTATATTTTATATAATTTATATGCTTGACATATTATCAATATACCATCTTGTGGGGATGCATCCACTGCTCCATAAACACCCAGAACAACAGCCAGGACACAATGTGCTGGCAAACCTTACAGAATTAATTATTCAATATGCAAGGTGAAACAGTGCGACTTAAATTTTTATTTTAATTTTGACAAGTCTCACACTGAATCTTCTTTAAAACATATGTGATATCATCTCTTAGGTTGTATAGTTGCTATTTTACTTATTTATAGCTATGATTTCTCTCTATGTAAAGTATAGTCATTATTTGGAAATTGAGTTGTAAATTTGCTTTATTTTTTTGTATGCCAATGTTTGGTTTTGGTTTTGGTTTACTTTCTTTGTTGCTTGCGAGGAAATGAACTTAAGGCCTCACTCATGGGAGGTGAATACTTTACTACTGGCTGGACCAAAGTCTGGAAAAAAAAAAGCCTTCTATCATTCAGGACTACAAATTAATTCTGCTATCTGTGACGTGTAGAATTCCCTTTCATGTCACTTATATCACCTATTTGGGGGAGTTCCTTGCTGTAGGATGTGTGACTGTTATCAATCTAGACTTTTCAAAGATTCATTTATTCTAAAAGTCTTAAAATGTTTGAACGTTTGTCACAAGAATATAATAGGACCTTCATTTTTTTCAGTATTTTATTTTATTTTTAATTTTCAATTAAATTTTTATTTCCTATAATAATTATAGTTTATTCACTTTGTATCCCAGCTGTAGTGCCCTTCCTCCTCCCCTCCCAATCTCTCACTCCTTCATTTTCTCCAATGCTCCTTTCCAAGTCCACTGATAGTGGGGTCCTCCTCCTCTTCCATCTGACCCTAGCTTATCAGGTCTCATCAGAACTGGCTGCATTGTCCTCCTCTGTGGCCTGGCAAGGCTGCTTCTCCATCCGGGGGAGGCAGTCAAAGAACCAGCCACTGAGTTCATGTCAGAGACAGTCCCTGTTCCCCTTACTAGGGAACCCACTTGGATAGGACCTTCATATTTTAAGGTTTTGCTTACCTATCATAATTATATCAGATATATCTTGAGTGTTCTGTCTTAACTGTAGATATTTGTTTTGTTGTAAATATGTGTTTTATTACCATTATTTTATATTATACTACAACTTTTTAAAATTTGGTTTTTTTTTATTTATCCTCCCTCTTCTCCCAATACCTCTCTCAGCTCTCCCTCCCCTCATCCTGCCCCTTCTGTCTCTCCCATATCTACTCCTCTATTCCCCTTCAGAAAAGGCCAGGCTTCCCAGGAATATCAACCAAATATGACATACCCAGTAGGAGAAAAATGATTCCAAAAGTGAGCAAACTTTTTACACACCAAATCTATATATTTCTGCCAGATAATTTTATACTGCATTGCCATATAGTGATTTTTACTTAATTTTCTTATGTTTATAAATGCACAATTTTGTTTTCTATAAATGAAAGATTGTAGCCTTTTTCTAAAAAAAAAGAACCTTCAGTGTTTAGTGCCTTAAAAGAACATGTCTAGGGTGGCTACCTACTGTAATAGCAATCATACAAAAGGCACAGAAGGCAAAATTAAAATTTTCAAATATCTGCTCAATTTTCCCAACTAACAAAATTGTTTGCCCAAGCCCTGTCAGTACGAAAGACAATATTCTTGAGTGGCATCATAGTTTGTTCTACTCCAGTGCATTAGTTTCTTCTCTAGAGACTTTTCAAGAATACGCATATCTTCTACAAATACTTTGCCTTTTAATATGTTTAATTCTTCTTAATATAATTTATTATTTTCCTCTTCCCGTGGATGTCATTTGTATGTGTTCTGTAATTTGTGAACTATTGCCTCATTTTTCAACTTCTTATCTCAACTTTCTCAGTTTTACTTTTCCTCCTATTCCTTTCATACCACTCCACATTGTTCCTGCTGAAAGACTTTTTTTTCTTAGACCCAATTATGACTTTACTGGGTTTTGAGCTGGAGGTACAGCCTAGTTCTCAGTTAGTACAGCTTATTGATACAGACAGCACCCAGCACTCACAAAGTTCAAGGCTATCCTTGACTCAGTCATTGACAAGCCAGCTTGCTATACATGAGGCCTGTCTCAAAAAAAAAAAAAAAAAAGAGAGAGAGAGAAAGAGAGATAGTTAATTCTCAAAAATATTGTCTTTCGTACTGACAGGTTAGAATATTTTGTTAGTGCTGTTTGGTATGGGTTAATTTTGTTTGGTTTTGATACCTGGTATTTAGCTCCTGCTAGCCTTGAGCTCAGTATGTAGCTCAGTCTGGCTTTAAATTCTTGATCCTCCTACCTCACTTGCCAAGCCCTGGAATTAAAGACATATGCCATTCAGCCCCAGAAATTTTCTCTGATCTACAGCCATATATATGCCTGTGTGTTCTTTGTCTCAAATTTAACTGAACTCAGTCATCCTTTGCTCATGATTTATTTGTATAAATCTGTTGCTGTTCATTTTCACTACTCCTCTTCAAATGAGTTGTGCATCTCCTACACTGATTATTGGCAAGAAGTTATATATTTTGCTTTCTGACTTTTGTTCTGACATATTATCACTTGCAATTTCTTTATTCCCACACATTTAATTGTATGTATTCCTGAGAGTCTATGAAATTATGTCTGCTTCCAGTAGCTTTTGTGTCTTGATTTTTATCATGCAATGATTTATATTTATCACTGTCAAATTTTGAAATTAAGACTTATTTTAGATGCATTGTTTCTGCTAAATAATACACAAGATGAAAAGATACAAGCTGCTATCTAATATTTCCACATATTTGATGTTGAAGACTTCATTATATTTATTGTTATTTTCAATGGAATTTGTGAAAGGAGTTGAAGCTGTGATAATGTAATGATAATTGCTAGTACAAAGACATAAAAGATGAATGTTGGGTCTTACCTAACCCATTAAGATATGCAAATGGTAATGTATGCCTGTCTCTTTGATTCATAATCAAATATATATTAATTATTTTTCTTTGAAAATATTTTAAAACCCAGAGTTTGTGCCATTCTTTTCTTCAAGAAACCGACTCCATTTCCTCCTTTTATGTGGTCCACATTAAGCACACTGGATTTTTGAGGCAATACAAGAAAACTTGCTAAAGCAGTAAATTATATTAAATTCTATAGATATATAAATTCTATAGATATATAAATTATATCAGATTCTATAGAGTGAGGCTTGTACCAGAGATAATAAATATATTTTTTATGTTTCTCGGACATTAGTCAATGTAATAGAAAGTCAACACAATATCATGGAGGCACCTTTCATAATCACAGTAATAGCAACCATCTATAAGGTACAAAATGTTCTCTAATTAGATATAATCACTCAAAACAAGATCCTTTGATAGTTAAGAAAAAATTTATTGTCTATTTCTATGCTAATTGGCCTAAATAGAGAAAACAAAGAACCCTACTTATACTCGGGCAGGCAATAACACTCTTTTTAGAAATATGTTTACATTTCTAATTCCAAAGTCATTAACCCCTGAGGTCACTGAGTTAGTTGCTATGATTATTCACTTCGATTACTAAGCTCTGAACGCAATAATCACTGGAAAATAAAGATGTGCCATCAGCTTTATTCCGAAGCAGCTTTGAGCATTCTTACCAAAATTATTATCTCCACCTCCAGACGTTTGTGGGCAGACAGGACAGCACTCCCCAGGGGGTGCTGTAGGATTGGCACAGTTAAGCACTTCTGGGCACTTTATCTGGTCACAGAGAATGGCACCATTGTCACAGACACAGATCTGACATGGAGAAGGTTTCCAAATGTCTCTATTTAAATACATCTGGCCATTTTGAGTACAGGCTATTTCTTCATCATATTCATCTGAAATAAAAAAGAAAAGAGGTTAATAATCTAAATTTTTTTTTAATTTGGGAAAGAGTTAAGTTAATAAAGTATCTTTTTGTTTTGAAAAGTTCTAAGAAATAACCTCCTAGGGCTGGGGACCCACATGTATGGTGAGCTGAGTAGAGATCCCCAGCACCCATGTAAAAGGTTGTCACATACATCTATAATTGAGAGCTGATAGGCTAATTCACATGGTACAGCAGACGAGAGAAAGGGCCTTCTCTCCTATACTCATGCCCCCTGGTCTGGCTCACCTGCAACCCCCACACCCAGGGCCAACTCTGCTGTACTGCCCTGGCAACACTGAGTACTCCCCCAAGTGCAGCAGTAGGTGAGAGGCAGGAACAGCTCTCCTGTTCTCATGACTCCCTCAGATCCAGCTCTTCCATACCCTGAGTAAAAGGGAGGGGAGGAGAATCTCTCCCTCACCTCCACCACAACCCAGTAAACAAGCGGCAGGGCTGACTCTCAGTCTAGCCAAGTCCAGTAAGAGACCCTGTCCCAAAGTACAGGTTGAAAGCAATTGTGGAAGGTACTGAACATCAACCTTTGGCTTTAATACACACACACACAGAGAGAGAGAGAGAGAACAGGAGAGAGGGAGGGGGAGGAGAAAAAAAGAGGAGATCAAAAAAAGAGAATGGGTTAATTTCCATAGGAGATAAAAGACAGATAAACTTATTCTATTTAGTATGTACATAAAATAGTGAGCAATTTATCATGAAATGATGAATGAAACATGCATTTCCCTAGTATATGAAGAAGAAAAAAATGAGCCAAAGTATACTTTTTAGCTAAGGAATGCTTCTCACAAGAATTTTTTTTAAATTATGAGTGATGGAACATAATGAAATTTAATAAAGAGGAACAGAAAGAAACCATTTTAAAAAGAGAAGCAAAAGAGAATTTCCAAAGCACAATCTGAGTACATGTGAAAATGAAATAACTATTTCATATCTCTTGGGTTAGGTCTCTGTTATCCATACCAAATCTGTAACGGAAACACAAAACTCATAAAAATAATGAGGTGATAATCTTTACATTGAAATCAATTAAGGGAAGGTTATAGCAAAAACAATATAGTGTGTAGTTATATAACTTTACTAATTTCCTTTCTATGTTTAGATAAAAGTTGTTTTTAATACTTGAAAATACATATTATATGCATATTTGGAGTAATTATAATTATATGCAACATGAAAAATACATGTATTAAATGCTTAGCTTCAATTTTTATGAGAAGCTAACCTTATTACAAACACAAAGTAGACATTACACAGTGCTCACTTCTCAGGTGCTTCTCAGCTCCTTAGTGGCAATCTCATTCCATATGGCCTTTTTCAGAAAGGAGAAAATAGGTTCCCTTGCTTATACCCATCTATGCCCTTCTGGAACTTCCCAAAACAACCTACAGAGGAAAATGGGCATCTCAACCTACTAAGACTTAGTCCTCACCTGAACATTTTATATGCCTCTGCTGAAAAAAGAAAGACAGTTGAACAAAGGAAGGGGTGTGTGAAACACTCAACCAACAAACTTCTCCAAATACTGAAGTCCCAGGACAGAAACAAAACATTACTGTACCCAGTTCCCATCAATAGACAGGTCATCTGTCAAGTGCTGAAAACAAGAGACTTTGGAGGGACACCTATATCACAACCCCGCCCTCCATGCATAGTTATCATCTCAGAGGAGGAGACAGTAAGACTGTGAGAGCCTGGGCAGGCCAGGCAGGACTACAATGTGAGACCCTATATCAATATTTCAAAAGAAAAAATAAGGAAGGCAGGAAGACAGGAAGGAAGGAAAAATGGAAAGAAGAAAGGAAGATGGAAGGAAAGAAAAAAGTAAAGAAGGAAGGAAAAAGGGGAGAAAGGAACCCTGAAAAAAGGAACAATTTTAAGAAGAGTCTTCAGCCAAACCATGTGTACCAGACATATCACAGTTGTACACATGAGCTCATATTAGCTGTCATCCCTCCCGTGTACAAAAGACATGTGCTAAGGAAGAAATTGGGGAAGTAACACCCTTCACAATAGCCACAAAGCCCATAAGGTATTTTGGTATTGCTCTAACCAAGTAAGTGAAAGACCTGCATGAAAAGCGCTCCAAGTCTCTGAACAAAGAAAAAAAATTGAAGAATATATCAGAAGATGGAAAGATCTCCCATTCTTATGGATTAACATAGTAAAAATGGCCATCCTACCAAAAACAATCTACAGAGTCAATGCAATCCCCATCAAAATACCAACATCATTTTTTACAGAACTAGAAAGAACAATTCTCAACTTCCTATGGGAAAATAAAAAAAACCTATAATAGCTAAAATAATCATGTACAATAAAAGATCTTCTGATGGTATCTCCACCCCTGATCTCAAGCTGTACTATAGAGCGACAGAAATAAAAACTTCATAGCACTGGCATAGAAACAGAATTGTGGATCACTGGAATCAAATCGAGGACCCAGAAATAAACCCACACAACTATGGATACCTGATGTTTACAACGAAGCCAAAAACATACTATGGAAAAAATAGCATCTTTAATAAATGGTGCTGGTCTAACTGAATGTCTACATGTAGAAAAATGCAAATAGATCCATGTTTATCACCCTGCACGAAACTAAAGTTCAAGTGGGTCAAAGACCTCAATATAAAACCAGATACACTAAACCTGCTAGAAGAAAAAGTAGAGAAGAGCCTTGAACTCATTGGCACAGGAGACAACTTCCTGAGCAGAACACCAACAGCACAGCCTCTAAAAGCAACAATCAATAAATGGGACCTCATGAAGCTGAAAAACTTCTGTATAGCAAAGGACACTGTCATCAAAACAAAACAACTGCCTACATATTGGGAAAGAATCTTCACCAACCCTATATCTGAAAGAGGGCTAATATCCAGTATATATAAAGAACTCAAGAAGTTAAACACCAAGAAATTAAGTAATCCAATTAAAAAATGGGGTACAGAGCTAAACAGAGAATTCTCTGTAGAGGAATATCGAATGGCAGAGAAACACTTAAAGAAATGTTCAACATCCTTAGTCATCAGGGAAATGCAAATCAAAACAATCCTGAGATTTCACCTTATACCCATCAGAATGACTAAGATCAAAAACTCAAGTGACAACACATGCTGGAGATGATTTAGAGAAAGAGGAACCCTCCTCTGTTGCTGGTGGGAATGTAAATTCTTATAACCACGTTGGAAATCAATATAGCACTTTCTCAGACACTTAGGAATAGCACTTCCTCAAGACCCAGCTATACCATTGCTAGGCATATACCCAAAATATGCTCAACTATACAACAAGGAAATTTGCTTAACTATGTTCATAGCAGCTTTATTCATAATCGCCAGAATCTGGAAACATCCTAGCTGTCCCTCAACTCAGGAATGGATACAGAAATTGTGTTACATTTACACAATGAAATACTACTCCTCAATTAAAAACAAGGAAATCATGAAATTTGCAGGCAAATGGATGTATCTAGAAAAGATCATCCTGAGTGAGGTAACCTAGAAACAGAAAGACACACATAGTATACACTCACTTATAAATGAATAAATTGTAATAAATAAATAAATGGAGATTAGCCATATGACACATGATGACCGTATTAAAATCTACGGTCCTAAAGAAGCTAAATAGCAAGGAGGACCCTAGGGAGGATGCTTAATTCTCATTCAGAAGGGAAAACAGGATAGATACTGGAAGCTATTGAAGAGAGGGAACCTGATGGGAGCCTACAACAGATGTCCTCTGAAAGACTCCGCTCAGCAGGGGATTGAAACAGATGCTGAGACTCATAGCCAAACTTTGGGCAGAGCTCAGAGAATCTTATGGAAGAGTGAGGGGATAGAAGAATTTGGAGGGGACAGGAGCCCCACAAGAGACCAACAGAGCCAACAAATCTAGGCCCAGGGGGGCATGCAGAGACTGAGGCACCAACCAAGGACCATGCATGGAGAGGACCTAGACCCTTTGCTCAGAAATAGCCCATAGGCAGCTCAGTCTCCGTCAGGGGAGCATGGGCTGTCTATGACATGGACTCTGTTGCCTGCTCTTTGCCAGGCCACACAGGAAGAGGATGCCGGCTATCCTGATGACACTTAACGGACTGGGGTCAGATGGTAGTGGAGGAGGGTCCCCCTTTCTGAGGACTAATGGAGGGGGTGGGGTGAAGAGGGACAGTTGGCGGGACCCAGAGGAGACGAGGGTGGTGGCTACAACCAGGATGTAAAGAGAATAAATTATAAAAAAGTAAATTTAAATTTTAAAAATAGCAAACTAATCAAAATCTCAGCATAAATGGAGACAGGGCTTATAAGGTCCCACCCCTAGTTGAGAATTTATTGGCAACTGATGGCTTTGGGGGGAAAGACAGTCAAGTTATTTTCACTGATGACCCCTAAATGGCCACCCCACTCCACTATACTTTCCTATACCCATTAACATTCAGGCGTACTACATGAACTTTGAGTTTAAAGAAAAAGAGCACATAATATTAGGAAGAGTAAGTGGCAAAGGGGTAACACAGAAATTGGAGAGAAGAAAATGTGGGTGGACATGAATTAAATTGCATTATGTACATATATGTACATGCATGAAATTCTGAAAAAATAAAATGTGTTGTATTTGCATTTTAAAAAATAAATTTTTAGTATTCTACATCCAAAATAAACATTCTGCAAAACATGATCTATACAAATGTAGATTCATATCTCTAATCAATTGAATATTACATTAAGTACATAAACTAATAATAACTTCTGGGCAAGTAAGGTGGCTCAGTGGAAGAGGCATTTGTCACCAGGCCTGACAACCTGAGCTCAGCTCCCAAGGGAATCCACAGAGAAGAAAGAGGGTGTGGCCTAAAGTTGTCCTCTGACTTCCTTACTAGAGTTCTGCCCCATCTCCTCCATATAAACATAGGCATAAACAGTAAATGAATAAATGTAATTTTAAAAA